GGAAATTATTTTGTAAAGAAGACCGGTAGGTAACCAGAGAAAACAGATATTTCTAAAGTATATACTGATAATACTAATATCAAAATTAAAATGTAAATTACTTTCACGGAATTGAATTGAGAAATTCCTTTCTTAGAAAACAAAAGGTACATTAATTCTGGATGACGCAGAACTAAATTGTAGGCTCATAGCTAAATTCTGTTATAGTAAATAGGCAGTTAACGAGTAAGAAGCTTTATTTGATTTTTGTAATTTTTTTTGAAACTATCCAACTTCAAAATTAGTTTCTTGATTTTCTACAAAAACAAATATTCAGTCGTATTGACAACCTTATCCTTTTAGAAGTAGGTTAACCAGTAACAATGCCATAACGTGTAACAACGTATCATTGACCATTTAAAATTATAATATCATATTTTTTAATTACTCATACAATAAATTTACCTGGTATTGGTTGCTGATAAAAGATAGTGATATGATTTAATAATGATACAGTATATTAGCGGAAATATAATAATAATGGATGTTATGAACAGATGAGCCTTACCTTAACACCTTACTTACACAAAACTGTCATATTTCTCCACTTGACTTTAAACCTTAGTACAATCAGAGTAGAGAACAAAATCGATTCAGAAAAGTCATATTGTAGTACTTAACGTACAGCCGTGTGTACACTGCTACCCAAAAAATTCGGTATTTTAATCTTATAAGCAAGCGGGTTATTCAACAAATATGTTTTGAAAATAAAATATAAATAAAAATTAAGACGAATTTTATTTCGAAAGTAAAAAACGATGTGCGATGAGTGTAAAACTAAGACTTTCTGATGATTATTTTGTTTGTTCTTGTATTTCATTTCTAAGATAATGGGGATTTGTGAACTTTATCAACTACTTTTTTCCACAAATCCCCATCATGAGGCATCAATGGGGATTAGTGGACAAAAAGTTCAGAAATCCCCATTGATGGGGATTTTCAATGGGGATTAGTGGAATAACCCTTACAAGCATATACTGTTAGTCATTTATAGCATATTCACTAATAGAATTACCTGACTTTTGTATTATTTAAGACGTAAATCATGCAACGAAGTAGGTACATAGTATAAAACGATTCAGTTATCAGTTTATATGATTAGTCATTATATGTAATTTAAATTATGTTACACAATGATTTCTCACAAAGAGTCCTATTAATTTGGTTACGTTTCAACTTCGTCTTTAAAAAATAATGTAGATAATTTAAATTAATATACCTCATAAGCAAGACTATCAACCCCTACAGATTTATCTCACTCATCTTATCATTTGGAACAGTTAATTTATTAAACACCTGTCTGATAAATAAAATATTTATTCCAAAAATGCACACCACAAAACCGTTTACTTTAATAGACGTTTGTTTTAATGGGCAAATAGAATTAAAACCATCGTATCTATTTATAAAACCAGGACAAGAAAACTCTTGTAAAGGTAAACACATAAACGTAGGTAAAGATTAATATACCTACATTTATGTGTAATAAACTAAAAATTACACATAAACGTATGTATATTAATCTATACCTATCAGCTAAAGTATTTGCGCAGGTGAATCGTTTCGCCTATCATCTGCGGATCGAAACAGTAGATAAAATGAAACAAAAGACTGATAATAAACACGACACTCACCACGAAAATCGCGGTAACGCATAACAGCATATACTTTATACACCTCATTCCGACTTCCAAACTGCCTTTCGCCATTAGAACGAGCTATTTGCACTGCACTTTATTCAACACTATTTGAGCCAGGTAATTTTCAGGTTAGCGAAGCCTTATCAGAGTGATAACTTATCGAGTGAACAATGACGGGCCGCGACCGACTTGGTACTGTTGCCTGTACGATTCAATGTCATGAAAAATATTTTCCGCCGTACAATAACGCTAATTGTCGCGGCTTTAGTAGTAACAGGTATGCGTCACAAGATAGGTACGTGTGAAGTTGCAATAATATAAAGCATAATATTATCATATAGTTACAGATGTGTAAGGCAAGAGTGTTTGATTTAATATCTTATAGGCATATCCCTATGGAAAAATCTCTGCAATCGTTTTTTACTGATAGGTTTTTTATCGACCGTTCTCAGTTACTCGTCACTTTTGATATATTTATTACTTAACTTCACCCTTTTATTAACCTTGAAAATAACAAACTGATAACATGTGTTAGGTTTACCACATTATACCTATTAGTGGTTTATCAATGCATTTTTATATAACGGTTCTATTTCATTGTGAATTACTTCGTTACAACAACCTTCTAAGTTAAGATTTTAACTATAGGACTAGATTGTATGAATCAAAATGACACCTAGGGCCTATCATTTGTCCTCGGACGGACAAAAATACGGAAAATTTAGAACCGTTCTAATAATTTTGTTCGTCGAAAAACGCGTTTCATTGGAGTCGTATTAGCATTTCGAAAATAACGAAGTTCGGTTTCAAATAAATAAATATTAAACAACATCACGTACATTGATTCTAAAATAAGTAGCTAAGAACCCGTATTATGGAGTATCTGAGACAACGTAGTTACCACAACACCCAGACCCAAGACAATATAGAAAAGACCGGGAATCGAACCCGGGACCTCAGAGATGGCGACACCTTGAAACCGGCGTACGAACCACTCCGCTTCGGAATGTTATGTTAATTAGTTCGAGTAGTACATCGTTTTTTCCATTAGTCCTGTGCGAATTTAATTTTATTTAATGAAGCCACCACCCCGGGTACCCCGAGATGGACGCAGTGATATCTTATAACAATTAGTCTTGAAGGTTACACGGGAGGCAACAAACTCTTGAAAGGCTTTTTGCACTGCTTCTCGGGTATTGAATTTGTTTCCCGCAAAGAAGTTATGCAAATTCTGGAAAAAGTAGAAATTAATTAATTACAATGGAAAACGGAAAACTACCAACCCCAGATCATATAACTTGAGGACTGCTTGCTAAGCTGTATGAGGTCACGCGTTGTTGTGCTGGAGCATTGGAGTCGAGCGATTGAATGACTTACTGGAGACGTGCGAGCATCTCAATCATTGGCGTCTCAGTCCTGTTTGCAGTAAGAAGCTGTGATGAATTATATTTGAGTTAGTCTATCGAACAGTGACCACCACTTTTTAGGGGTATGTTTTTGTTAAGTGGATTGTTCAGGTGCTTAACTGGGTTTCAATAAATTTTCTGAGCGCTTCTGATTTTTCGTCAAGCTTTTTTGTTTTACTAATAAAAGGACCAAGATTCAGCGTAGATTGAGTATCATCAGCTTCCACGACCAATTTTCAGGTCGAAAATTCCAGAGTAAAAGCAAGCAAACAAATAAAGGCGGCTCCACCACGTAACTGAAGCTCTGATTGGTCTCAGGGCTAGTTACGTTATTTAAACTGAGATACATAAGCAGTTTTAAAAAATATTTTTTTATTCTTTCTTATCAACTAGTTATGCCAGAAATTTGCTTTCATTTATACGCAACCAGTTGCCAACAAAGAATTTATTTTGCCGCGTTGCCAACTGATTATCGAAAATAATTGTAAAATAGACGGTTTTATTCATATAGCATTCTTTGCGGTCATTCATGGCTGTTCCTATTAATACTGGTCTGGATTATTTATTCTCTATATATATATTTGGAAATAAATGCATTGACGATGTTATAACTTTTTCCAGTCATGTCAGTAGTAGCAAACAATGCCTAATTTTTTATATTAATATTTTAAATATTGTAAGCAAAGTAATAAAGTTATATTTAACTATTGGTGTTCTAAGCGGTATCTGTTAGTACGTAGAAGCATAAAACATTCAATTTCGTTAAGCGATGTCTACTTCATTTATTGAAGTTCGTTTACAATAGTGTTAATAACTACAAGTGAAAAAGAATACAGTAAAAGCTCTTTATTCGCGCTTCCTTCATTCGCGTTTTCACTATTCGCGGATTGAAAAAATGCGACTCAAGTCCCATATTCGCGGCTTAAAATTTCCTTATTCGCGGATTGAATCGGTACATCGTTATATTCATATAATAATATATCCCTAAATAAAAAGCATTCGGTATCATTTGTCAGCAAGTGGACTAATAAAGAGATTAATAAAATAGACCTTATTACAACTACGCCTAGATTGTGTTTTCAAAAGAAAAGACGGCTTTGCGTCAACCTATGGACCAAGGAATAATCCAGACCTTTAAGCTCCATTACATAAGACGGACCTTCAAAATCATACTGGATAATATGGAATGTGATCCTGATATGAATGTTATGGAATGCTGGAAGAAATTTGACATAGCAAAATGCATCGTAAACATACAAGAATCATTGCAAGAACTGAAGCCACGCACATTGAAATCATGCTGGAAAAAACTATGGCCGGTTCTGACTGCTGAAAATGAGGAAGAAATTAAAACTTTAACTGAAAACATTGCCTAAATTGCGAGTGGAATAGGACGAGATGGATTCGAACAAATAGAATCAAGTGATATTCAGGAGTTGCTCGAATAACAAGATGAAGATTTGACTGAAACCGACTTAGAGGAAATGTTAAATTCACAAGCTTTGTGATTTCTTTATGAAAATAGATCCATCAATGGAACGAAGTCTTATTTTTAAGAGGCAAATTGCTAGTGCCACTGCTGAATATCAGTGTGAACTGAGAGAGCTCTTAAAGTCTGCCAAGCAAGAAAAAAATCACAAAATTTTTAAACCATTGCCTAAACTTGAAGATATTATGTAACGTGTATATATGGACAAAAACTTAAATTAAACTGATTTTTTATGTGTTTGCTTTTTTTATTTCGTCGCCTAGGAACGTATCCCCTATAATTCTATACTAAATGCCATCCCGTATTCGCGTTTTCTGTATTCGCGGCCTATTTAAGGAACGTAACCCCCGCGAATAAGGAGCTTTTACTGTATAATAATAAAGGACACATTTTATAAACGCACATACCAGGCTAAATGAAACCCTGAAGTTATCAATAATATTTATTAAATTATATTACAATTATTTTAAGATTATTATTAAGCTAAGAACAAAATGTGGAACTGGACAAGCACTACTATTGTTACATTTCTAAGGATATGCCCCTTGCTCATCTCGCGTCATCTTCGCTAGCCATATTGCGCCACCTACCGCGAAAGCCTGAAATTAAAGATAAATGGTAAATAGAATCACATGAGGTGTGTGAATTTCTGCATATGGAAAAAGGATAAACAAATAGAAGGGTTAATAAGGAAAAACTTTATTAATAATAACATTAATAATTTGTCAAGTCTCATAGAAAAAGACATATGAACTAATAATAACAAGGAAATTTTGGATAGGTGTTGCCGACTGGCTGGATACACCACCTTTTTTATAGATTTATTCAATTGCCATATTTTTTACAATTTGTGCGTTTTCTTTCTTTGCTCTTTGCATATATAGTTGGCTGCAATTTATTATTTACTTACTTGTCATTATATATTATTTAATATACCTATTCATTAGTTTTTATTTTACAGTGTTAACAATTGCTGATGTTCCGCTGTTCAGATCCAGATGATAGGTATGCTGCTGGGACCTCTTTTCTGTGTCTGGGACCAACGGCATAGTATATTTTCTGAGGCTCGGATGTTATGTTCACCCATCTACCGGCAAGCCTACTAATAACTTAGATTTGGTTGCACTCTAATACCTATCTAATAAAAAGGAACAGAAAGTAGAGTGCATTTTTATTGAATCCAATGTCAAACCAATCAAAGTCGATCGAATTATGCGACAGGTTTGCAGTTCTTTACGACCAGCCTCTGCATTAGTTGTAAGTTTACAGTTGTAGGCAAGCGCTAACCACTGATAATATTCCTACTAACTCTCTGTTCAGTCCCAATACAATTTGTTCAGGCTTCAGATAATCATAAATAAATATTCTACAACATCACGCGCATTGCTCTGATCCCAAATTAACACCCGTATCTATAGTCTAGTACAAGCAATTGCTTGAGCAAAAGTAATTAGTTGAGTAAAATTAATTACTTAAGCTATTTTTTTTTAAATAATCCAGAATTTGAATGAAGTAAGAACTGTTAATAGTAAGAATACTATTATTATTAGATATTATATTATTTCATTAAAATTCTCTTCTATTGTATCAAAATATCTGCTTAAACTAGAACTTTCCGACCTCGCATCCGTCCTGAAAAGAACAGGCTTAAGCGGGGCCGGTAAAATCGCCACCACAAGGGGGAGGGAGTGGCCCACGGGGCCCGCCGGGTTCAGCCCCACTAAACCGGCATCCAATCCCGGTACCACAGAGATGAGTGACACCTTGAAATAAGCGTGCGATCTACTCGGCCACGGAGAGGAATTAAAACCTAATTGGCTGAACCAACCTGTAGAATGATGAGAAATACTCCAGCCAATCCTATTGAACCCATGTGCGATTGAACAAAACTGCCGAACGCCGTAGAACAACCTTTTCCGAACACTGTTGATGAATTTGTATTGCAATGGAAAGTGTTTATGGTGCCGAAATCCATCGAACAGCAACTTATCGGTAGCCCATCAGTTGTATTCAGTATTGGTAGCCAATCGGCAGCATTTTTTACTCCACAGCAGCCGAACTGTAATGAATAATATATTTTTCATTATCTGCTAATAAAAATGGTTGATTTATTTTTTATTAAGCATTGCTACATAACATATTATTCATAACTTAATATAAATAAAAAATATGTCTTACATATATTATCACAATTAAGGCGTACATAGCATTCGCAGTCAAATAAATTGAAATTTAATTAATTTATATAATATATAATTTATAAAAACAATTTTACATAAATTAAACCGATTTCAAAAAATTGTAATAAAGAGAAACGACTGAAAAGAGACAAATAATTCATCAAATTTTTATCTTTAATAAAATCTAAACACAAAAAGTGGATACACAAACGATTTTTAAAGTCGGCGAAAATCACGAACAGCATCCACTTGATTGAGCTTTACGCCACCCAGCTCATAAAATGTCACAAAAGAGTTTCTCTTCTTTGAATTTTATATGATAACATTTGTCAATACTAAAAGCCATACTGTTCGCCACACTACTCATCTATACTGTCAAGGTCATCCTAAATATATTTACTACTAGCTTTCGCCAGCGGCTTCGCCCGCGTGGACCCTAGGGAAAAGTTTAGTGGGATAAAAAGTATCCTATTATCTAAGTCAGCTAACACCCTATCTGTATACCAAATTTCATCAAAATCCGTTCAGTAGTTTCGGCGTGATTGACGTACAAACATCCAAACATCTAAACATCCAAACAAAGAAACTTTCACATTTATAATATTAATAGGATTAAGAGGCGACTTCACCGTTCTAATAATTGCAATCTTTGCCGAATATGATAAATAAAAAAAATGATTTTAAAATTAATTGAATAATATAATAATTGAATTATATTTCATTTCATGAGAATTATTTCATTTCAACTAACAAAATGAAAAAACTAAAAATTTCGACATATAATCGCTAGGATGGCATATCTTATGTCTAGAGCAGAGTTAGGTGGTCGCATCCCATAATGGATAAAGTTATAATCGCTTACATCTTGCTGCACCTCGTCCCAGAGCTTTGTGATAACGACTTGTTGTTTATACATTGGCATGGTTTCATGAAGCTGTGCCTCTATAAGAGCTACGGTGTCCCTCTTTAGTACGTATCCGGCAATGCACGCTGACATAACGAATATGAACATTATAACCATTAGACCAGCATACTGAAAAAAATACAGGTTGATGTTACACAATATGTCTATAGATTGCCCGAATCGAGTAGGTAATATATGTAATATGGGTCCTTTTGCAATTATCATAGCGGTTTAATGAATCATGTAACTTTTAATGTCGCAACCGCTTTTGGAATGAATGATGATTTGAATGATCAAGAAACATAATAAAACAAAACTTAGCTAAAACCGTCGAGAAATTACAGTTGCCATTCAACTCTATCGTTTGACATTTATCAAAAGCTTTCAAGATATTTGCGTCTAACGCTTGCCTTAACGTCAAATGTGCGACATCTTTCATTCAGTATAACGTCAAATTGCAAGAGATTGTGATAGATTTTAAATTAAGTCAATTATCCCCCAGGTAGACAAATGTAACCTACTTCAAAATATAATAAAGATTTTATTTCATTAAAGCTCTAGATGTCACAGCGCTGCGTTAGTGAACGAGTTCAAGAATAATATTTAGAATAGCAGTTTGCGTGAAAAAAGAAGTGATTATTACTTTAGTATCAGTAGAGATAGGAGGATTAACATCTCTCCAATCAAGGATAGGTACTTGTTTCTTTGTCATGCAATAAGGTATAGTTAAAGCTTAAAACAAAAACACTGTGCCTTCTTTGTATTATCATTAGATAAGTCGACATCAATAAAATAGATAACCCACGGAATAACAACAGCACAAAGAGGGCGCGTGCCCTTTTCTCCGTCTGCGTAGACGGAGACAGCTCGCGACAAAATTAAACTGGACCATTCTGTTTTTGTTCGCATACCTACATCACATTTATAGAACAGGCAAATTCTGAAAGGAGCTCGAAGGCGCAGTGGTAAACGAGCTCGGTCTGTGATACGGTACAAGTACAAGTCATTGATTATCTTGAGCTCATTCGTACTCATTGTTAACACCTACCTATCCACATTGGGCCCAATTGGTGGTTCGTGGCCTATTCTTCTTATTCGATTCCTTTTATAGGGAAGACCTGAGATGCGTGGGGACGTTAATAGTAATAGGGCAAATTCTATTTTTACTAGCATTATAAAGAGGTATAAAAAGTCGCGGGATAACAATTAGTTTTATCAGAAACAGAGCCTATTACTATTTTTAGGGTTAGCCGTATTTGGGTCAATAATATGGTACAGATCGAAAGATTTGTATGACTTCTCTAGATATTGAAACCGAAATTGATATACCGTGCAGTTTTGTGCGCCACTGGAGAAATACCATTACTCCACTAGAATTCTACCTGGGAAGTTCACTCAAACACTAGGCATAATAGACGAACGAGGCCAAAGCAAAGATTGACATATAGTTGTTTGAGATAAATTTTTTTTTTAAATTAAAATGACAACTCGTTATTTTTTAATAAATTAAAAATATATTATATTTTACTTTTATATTATGCTCTGGTTCGGTCTGGTTCGAAGATATAGATAGATGACAACAAATGATTTAATATTTTCCTCATTGTGTTTTGGATTAATGAAAAATTGTGTATAAAAAGCATTTGGGTATCAGCATTACGTATTTCGAAGTCCAATTGCTTATTATCAGCGTTTGTTACAGCGTGTCTGATATTTACTAAGTACAAAGAGGTTTTATCGCTAATACATAGTTTTTAATACTTATTTATAATATATGACATGACGTTCATTATGAGCCTACAGATATTTCAGTAATACTTTAGAATCTAAGAGAATACCACACTTTGTTTTTCTAATTACCACACATATATATAATCATTTCTATAATAACCTAATTTGAATAAAGATAGAACAAGAGCTGTCTCAAGAATAATGCATTCAGTTTCAAATGATAATAAATCACCTTCTGTGTGTCTAACAAAAATCGTCTGTAACGCAGTACTGATAAGAACCATCCTGAAACTGGGTTAATTAAATCCCTTTTATGATATCATCATATAAAGTCATCAAGTTAAACATTTTGAAAGTAACGTAAAAACCACGAACGAAAATGACGAATCAGAATTATAATTTTATTAAAATCATATCTATGAAGATTATCTGTGCATCAAAGGCATTAAGCAGGTGCTAACTCCGCTGAATCATAAATTATCAAAAAATTCGTTTCTTCGGAATCGTGATAGAATTTAAAATAACACACGTAATTACGTTTTTAGAGAGATAGCATAGACCATGGGTCGTGTTAATTCGTACGAGTAGTAACATACGTACCGCCATTATAATTAGGTAACTCTCTCTGTAAGCTCCATAGAAGCCAGCAAAGGCAATAATGAAGATGATAATTCCAGTTGCGATGCAAAATGCCGGCAGGGATATGAACCTCTCTGACAAGAAAGGATGGTAACCATTGTATGCTCTTTGTACTGCACTACCGATAGCCAATATAATTATTCCAGTTATCTGAAAACACAGTGTAAAACCACTCGAATAAAACTGCTTACACTATGTCAACGCACGATGTCATCAAACTGCTTGCACGCGTAACTAACTCACGACTTACCACGAACAAAAAATTCACAGAAACCAACGAGTACTTGACGGTATTAAATAATTTCTCCAACATTTTCTATTATAATTTATCAATGCTTTCTTATTTTAAACGTAACAATGAGCGGACGTTAGCTCGCAGTGCCACTGGCGTACAATTTCAGCTTTTGATATTTTTATCGTCATACATTTATCTTGATAAGGAAGCAAGCGGAGTTATCTTTCGTGGCTCCTGACGTATGACTCAAATGATTTATTTTATACATTCACTTTTCCATATAATCATTGATAATATACCCTTTTGCAAGAAAAGGCATTTATTTGGTACTTACATATAAAAATACAGTGGATCTAAATTCATCCAAAATCTCTATATTTAATAAGATAAATATGAAATTGTTTTGCATAATAAAATGGTAGCAATTTTTAATGCATATACATTTATTTATTACACATAAAAGACTGAAAAAGGCTACTGTATAGTCAACAGCACATCAGATTAAACAAAAAAGTCAAACTCTAATCGCTTTAGTACGTTACCAATAAAGTTCAGAATTGATTTATCAGTACTTATCTACTAATAATCAATATCGATATATCAAGGTATATCAGTTTGACTAGCCACGCTACTCTGTAATACATACGAGGGTCAAACTGAAAGTTCTTAGAAAATCAAAAACTGATTACATTAGCCAGTTATTAGTTTTATTATATCTTTTCAAAATATTGTCCATTCACGTCAATACACCGCTGCATGCGATGGAACCACTGGGAAAAGCACTTTGCCCACTCGTCCTTAAGGGTCTCTTCAATGGCATCGCGATACGCAGCCACCGCTTCTTCAGCATTCATAAACCGCTTTCCTTTAAGTTTTTCTTTAATTTTTGGAAATAAATAAAAATCACAAGGCGCGAGGTCGGGGCTATACGGCGGGTGACCCAGTAATTCAACGTTTGATGTCGCCAAATAGTCGATCGTTCGCTTGGCGGTGTGCGACGAGGCGTTGTCGTGGTGAAGGAGGATCCTACTGCGAGGTCGTTTCTCTCGAACTTTTTCCAAGACAAGTGGCAAACAATTGGTAGTGTACCATTCTGCAGAAACTGTTTTTTGATCCTCTAACACAATTGTTGCAAAATGACCTATCCTTCCAAAGAACGAGGCCACCATTTTTTTTCCCGCACTTCGATCTCTCTTCACTTTAGTTGGCAACTCCTCGAAAGGAAACACCCACTGAGCAGATTGTCTTTTGGTTTTAGCATCATAACAGTAAATCCAGCTTTCGTCACCTGTTAGTATGTCGAACACAGCATTTGAGTCACCTCCGTTAAATCTTTCAATCATTTTACGACACCAATCCACACGATGGAGTTTTTGAGCCTCAGTCAAATTATGAGGTATCCACCGGGCGCAAAGCTTCCTGACCGCTAAATGTTCGTGGAGGATTTTGTGCACTTGACTCATACCGATGCCTAAGCTTGTCCGAATCTGTTGATAGGTCACTCTTTTGTCAGTCTCTATCATACGCCGCACAACACAGATGTTATCTTCAGTCGTCGCGGTAGAAGGCCGTCCCTCACGTAAATCATCAGTGAGATTAGTGCGACCACGTTTAAACTCATTAAACCAGTTGTAAACAGTCGCACGAGATGGGGCTTCATCGTGAAAGGCCAATCGTAGTCTATCATAACTTTCTTGTTGACTTAAATGACATCGAAAGTCATAAAAAATCATTGCACGAAAATTTTCTCGTGTTAAATTCATGATGACGTGACACAGACAATTTTCAATTTGCCGCCAAATCGTAAAACAAATGACAAATGAATGAAATATATACTCAGTAATATTGGCAAAGAGTTATATTTTCAAATTTTAGAATTATTTTTTTATTATATTGTTTATAAGTGGCCAGTTCTAAGAACTTTCAGTTTGACCCTCGTATTTATTATTTTTTGAGAACTGAGCGAAACACGCAGATATTAATAGCCATTATAAGAGAAGAAGAAGTAGGTTGTATTTATCCTCTATCTATTATTTTATGGTAGCTTCTTCGAGGTTCGAAGCTAAGTTTTTTTTTTCAGATTAAGCAATGCAGCATGTGATCGCTGGCGGAACAAGACTGGTGGCTTTGAACAAAAAGAGTGTGTAGGAGTCATTATATCAGTCGTGTAAAGTGTGGAGACTAATAAGTACGTACACGACTGTTACCTCACGCAGCTTGGACCTCATATAACTGAATAATAAATAACTGGTGCTTTATTTCACTTTCACCACCCGGGTGTTATTACTTGGGTGTCCAAATTCCACATTTTTACTGAAAAATTTAAATGATTTACAATCACTACCATCCTACATCAACAGCACGTCATATTATACAAAACTGTAAATTTTCTCCACTCTATTTTACAGCTCATTACAATGAGCTAAGAACACAAAATATACTATATACATTTGACATATAGTAGTAGTCAAACGAGCACTCGTGTGTACATACTTAATAATATATAATTAATGCATAGTTCGATGCTCCAATTATATTTCCTTCATTAAATCATCATTAATATATAGCAAATAGAGGAGCTCGATGAAGCAGTGGTCATTGCGATCGGTCTGCTATACGGTTGTTTAGCAATTTCGCAAAGGCCACTCATAGGATGGGTGACCAAAAAATTTTCTCGAACATCTCCGTGCTTCGGAAAGCACGTTAAATCGTTAGTTCCCGACTGCTTCTGCAATTATAGCACCCACCAATATACATGGGGCCTGCGTAATGGGTCATGGTACATTCGGCCTATTCAATTTGATTCGATTCCATATATAGGGAAGCCCTGAGCCCTAGCAGTGGGACATTAATAGGTTAGTGGTGATAATGATAATTACATAGCAAATAAAACTCATTTCAGTAGGGCCAATGACAGTTTTTAATAAATATAATTATTATTCTATTAAAATTTACACATACAATTAAGTACTAGAACTAAGACTCCAAATCCACATCCTCATATTTCGTCCGGTAGGCCAACCAGCAGGCGACTGCGGTATTCACTATCTGCACATAAAAAATATTTATATTATAGTACGTTTTCAATCAGTGTTCAATTTTTCCTACGATTTAGATAGATTTTTTATAAGATTTTTTTTTATAGATATAATTCAAAGAAGAATAACTTACAGCCAATTGCACAAACGTCCATTAAATTTCATTAGAGCTTAAAGACATTATATAACCTTAATGGACTTTGTGCAACTGACTCTTAGAATATCTAGACAATCTAGACAACTTAAGCATGGAGAAACAAGCACCAATAATATTTTTTTAATGTGGGTAAATGCAATAAAAAAGGCTTAAATCGGGGCTCTCCGACCCCACACCCGTCCTGATAAGGCAGACTTATGTGAGGCCGGCCTAACTGGTAAAACCGCTGCGAGTACCCTCCGGGGTGAAGGACCAGGGTCCAGTAATAATAGCTGGGTGAATGTTGTGGTTAATTAAATTAAATTCTCGTGTCATACTTTTAAGTCACGCAAATCGATTTGACAGATTTTGATAAATTTTATATGTTTTCAGTAGGTCTGAGACCAGGTTGTTATCTATATATTATACCCCTAAGTAATCCAAAATTCATATGGCCACACAACGTTTTTAGACAAAATAACTTATTTCTTTGTATGCGACTGGAGGACTTGTTTCCATGGTCAGAATAAATTATTTAAAAAAAAGACAAAATAGCTAATTCACTCCAACAGAATAGCTAATTTACACTCATGGGGATGATTACCTGTAGAGACACCCTCAGGTGTGTTAATTCCTACGAGTTATAAGTACCTATATTCACACAACAAGCTTATCAGAGATTTCGGCTGATAAACAATTCCAATCAAAATTAACAAATTCCAAATTCGGGGAATCACCTACAGATAAAATGTTGTTATTATGAAGCAAAATCGTCTTAAATATTAAAATTATAATTATTATATTTCATAGACTAAAAAAATATTTAAACAAAAATAAATATGTATTTGCATAGATCGAAGTTATAGGCTTTTATCGACACTAATATTATAAAGAGGAAAGGTTTTTTAATGTTTGTTTGCATTACTGAACTGATTTCAAACTTCTGCTACAGGTAACTATGTATATCATACAAGGTTGACAACTCTATCACTTTTATTTTTTTGTTTTTACTATCCACCATGCGTGTTATAAACAAACAATATATCTTGTACTATAATTAACCCGCCAATTATATTCATTGAATAAAGGATTTCAAGCTTCTTTATCCTTAATCAATATTCGTTATCATAATATTGTTATCAGCCCTGCGATTCTGTAAAAATTCGAACCCGAATTCGAATTCACTCAGATTTCCGAATTTACTTCGAAAGCTTATATTGGTGTAGAAAAACCATTGATTCCATTTTTTGTTATAATGAAAAATAAATAAAACAAGGTTGTTTGACTCATACGTGTCTCAGATTCTCTATCTCAATAATTTCCAAACTTACGCCACCAAACTAATAACAATTGAAGATTGAACGGATGCCGCTTTTGAAGCGATAACGGAAACCTGATTTAATTATTAATTCGGATTCGAGTTCGGAATTTTGCAGAATCGCAGGGCTGAACATATTGTATGTAGCATATTTTGTATGGCAGATAAGAAGTGGATAAGCACGTCATGCCTAAATTCGTGACCGGATTTGTTTAAATAGCTCTTTATTACAATAGGTAGGTATGTAAGACAAAAACAGAAAGCTGATTACGACCAACTTTTACGTTATTATTATTATATTATTAATGTCTTAGACAATGTAATTACGGTTTTGTGAACAACGTATATAAAGCAGGGTTCGCTGATAAATATCAACTGATATATATCATGATATGAGTCATGATATATATATATATATATATATATAACTAGTCTAGCCATAAATTCTGTTACTGGCTGTTTACATACATTTGAAAGAAACATTAATTTAAATTTCTAACATTAGCGTCTACGAAAAAAAATAGACTTTTTTCCCGCCATTTTTGTTTGTTTTTGTTTTGAAAATGGAGTGGGGCACTAAAGAGAATAGGATTGCAGTAATTGCACTGTACAAAGTAAGTTAGGAGCCACCCGACATTTTTGATACATTGAAAAAGCTAGGGATTAGCCGAATGTTTGTGTATCGTACCATCCAAAGGTACCTACACTGAAACCATGTCTGATGACCATGAGAGATCCGGCGAATCGTGGTCTATACGTACAAACTAGGTCGGTAATGCAGTCAAGGCCAGAATTCGTCGAAATTTCATAATGAAGCTTAAAATCCTTTCCAGAGAAATGAGACTCCCACCGAGTACACTTTCTCGGATTATCAAACGAGACTTAGGTCTAGGAGCTTACCGAAGACATACCTTAAATCAGGCACTAAAACAAAAGAGAGTCGAAAGATCAAAACAGTTGTTACTTCGATACGCGGACGAAAAAAACAGAAAAACTTTTTACCGATGAAAAAAAATTACATTCGAGGAGCACTACAATAAAAAAAATTACCGAGTGTATGCACACAGCTCTAAAGAAGCCGAAGAAGGGTAGTGGGTACAAAGTTCAGCAAGGCCATCATATAGCATACGTCATGGTTTGGCGGGGTGTCTCCTACCAAGGGGTTACAAAACTAAATTTTTGAGAAAAAGTTTACTTTGCCTTTATGGGAAAGGTAAGTGAAAACTTCAGCCAAAGTGTATAGATACCGAGTTAGAAGCGGTAGTTAAACCTCTCAACAAAACCTTAATCAAAAACGAAGTGTGGACATTCCAACAGGATTCAGCCCCGGGTCATAAGGCGCGCACTACCCAAATATTGCTTAAGCAAAATATTCCAGTCTTCATAAAGGCAAATGATTGGCCTTCAGCTAGGTCGGACTTTAACCCTTTGGAATATAAATTGTGGTCTGTGTTAGAGGACATGGTCTGATCTAAGCGTCACCCAAATATTGAGTCGCTCAAGTAATCTTTGGAGGCAGCAGTGACCAAGTTTCCAATGGAAACTGTTCGTAAATCCATCGATGAATGGTTCGGCCGTTTAAAAGCGTGCGTTACAGCTAAGGGTGGACACTTTGAATAACTAGTTTAGTGCGTTAACATATCTGTTTCACTCTACATAATCAAATATAAAACTTTAATATAAAATTATTCTTTTATAAATTATAGATAGGATATATAGGATATTTTCTTTGTAACAAAACTTATGGCTAGACTACGTTGACTAATTTACCTATGCAACTGCCGTTTTTCATGAAATAAATAAAGCGTATTTTTTTCTATATTTTTTATTTCTATTGATCAAAATAATCACCCATGCAATCAATGCATCTTTGTCAACGCATTGGTAGCTTATTGATGCCCTTCTTAGAGAAATCAGCTGGACGGGAGGCAACCAATTCTTCAAGGGTATTTTGTGCCTCTCGTGTATTTAATTTTTTTTCCGCCAAGAAGTTATCCAAATTCTGGAAAAACGTAGAAGTCTGTAGGCGCAAGGTTTGGTAAGTACGGCGAATGATGGAGAACTTCCAACCCCAGCTCTTGTAGCTTGGGAAACGTCTACTGTACAGTATAAGATGGGGTGTCTTCGTGCAGGACCAGTGGAGCCGAACGATTGACCAAAGCTGGTTGGAGACGTACGAGCTTCTCAATCATTGTGTTCAGTTCTTTACAGTACACATCTGCAGTAATGCTCGTCCCGTTTGGTAATAAGCTGTGATGAATTACAGCCGCGTTAGACCACCAAGGAGTGATCGTCACTTTCTAGGGGTACGTTTTCGTTTAGGGCATTGTTTTAACTTATCTATGACGACGAAAACTGTTCGAATGCGTTGAAAACAAAACACCAACTTTTAAATAAATGACGATTTTAGAAAAAAGAATTTTATGTTTTTAAAATAAAATTAATTTGAAATTAGAATTATCATCCAAAAAAAATATTTTGATTTGAAGTAGCCAATACGGCAGAACGGCAATTTCGTAGGTAAAGAAAGACCTATTACTTGTATCACTCGATATTATAATAGTTATTGTTAGTTTGATTATTGAGTTTCAGCTAGAAAATTAACCAACCCCATCTGATGCTGGCAACATTGACCAGAAGTATTCCCGAAGCAATCTTACTTACTAGAAATTTCGAGTTTACCTGAGTTTACCCCATAATATAAAGGCGATGTGTGAACGGTTAGTTTTTTATTTTTTCTTAAAATTTAATGCTTATGTTCACATTAAATACAGTCTTTATTTTGCACTTTTGATTAAAAAGATTAAATATTAAATAAAGTCATTAGCAGTTTAAAAATCGCACCTTTTGACATGCATGATATGTATCCGATATATATGGGATAAATAACAAATATCGGATATTTCGATATTTATAATAAATATCGGATTTTAGCAAAATTACTACTTACAGGCATCTACATCCCCAGATGAAATAATATTCTTCTATCTATGCATATACAATGTGCATTAACGTATTTTATCTTTATCAATATGACCGTACAGACCAGGGCTTGCCACCCGTCCCGAATTTTCTAGGACATTCCCGATTTTAATGATGTTGTCCTGAGTCCCATTTTCTTCAGTAACTCCATTCGTGCTTAGGTATTCCTTTCTTCGCGCACGTCCCACCGCTGTTTTATAATATTTTATTATTATGATCTTGTTATAAAACTAAATGCATTCTCAACGCAATTTTTACGGCGACTCCAAATGATTTTCAATATTTTTTATCTATTGCTTAATATTACAAAATTTTCATTAATAATCAGGCATAACAATATATTCTATAGTATATAACAATGTATTGTATGACAGTGTAGGTACTTTTTTCCACTGTTTTTCTGCTAACTATTTTATATGGTTGTTTAATACTATATTATAAACACACTGTCAATATATTTCATGAGAATCTATTCTATTTTCGATGAAAATAATTGTCAAAGTAAAATAGCCAATATCGCGCTAAAACCGCTGCTATGTATCTAATAACTGTTTGGAGATGTCAGCTTCCTGTTTACGTGTGATGTCACATGCCGGTAAAAAGAGCCTGTTATTGGTTGCTACGACAACCAATTACAGGGTGTGTTTGTCGTTCATTAGAATTCCTAAAATGTTGCATTTTCTTTACGTTACTTTACTAAAGCTAAACATATTTTGTCTGCTGATTGTAAGAAATAAACTTCTAGATTATAAACTGGACCAGATCTGGACCAAATTGAAATGGGACAACACGGCAAGTATTAGCTGTCAAATCAAAAAGAATTATCAAAATCGCTATACCGGTCCTCAAAGTAACACAAACGATCTAAAATCTATTTTCCGCTTATTAGGAACGATACAGAATAATCGTATATGTTTACTATTATTGAATAAAACCGCCAATTTCTTCTTTTACAGTAAAATTGCAACTAAAAATGAGCCAGACAAATTGTAACATAACCAAAATAAAACACATTTTCTAAATTAGTTTTATTATAAGCCAGTTGCACCCTTAAAATTGTGGTTATTTTTTTGACATTAATTAAAGCTTAAAGGCGTTATAATAACCTTTAATGGAGGTTTGTGCAACTGACCATAAGTGAACCCAATTTTAATATTTTGACTAAAAATATCAGGTTTTATTCAAGTGTCAAAGCTCGCAAGGTTGCGGATGCTAGGTGTCACTGAAACCATGCACATAGCCAATACCCTATGTAGTGTCTATATTTTAACAGAATATCAAAGCTATAGAGGATATAATGGTTTAAATAGTTAAATATAAGAATTTCACATTTAAATACCCTTAAAAATATGTCACTTTATTCATAACGTTGTTTTAACTTACACGAAAATGTCGTTACGACCCTTTCTGTTCTCGTAGACTGAGCGTTACGACTCGTAACGCTACGGGAACAAGGAAAAGTAAAATAAACATCTTTAAGTTGGAAAACTAATCAAGGTTGTTGCAATACAACGCCAATTTATTGATACTATTGTCGCACTATGCTCGCCAGTCAATTGAATTATCAAAACTTGATCCTAAACAATACTATCGGTAGTTTGTACTTTATAGGTAAGGACTAGTTAGATATTATTTAGATTATGAGATGCTCTTTCTGGTACTGTTCAAAGGTCGATAATAGAAAAAAGTGTTACTTACCTGAAAACAAATGACAACCAAAGAGGTGACAGCCATAGCGTAAGCTTTGTAGCTGAGCCACTCACTCAGTGCACTGAGGCAACCGGTAGTGTACGCATTAGTCTGAGTACACTCGAATGGCGACACCACCCCATAATCTATGTGGCAGCAGCTCACGGGGACTCCGTTCCGCCAATCATGTCTGCCGCTCACGCCGCAGCATTCGAACTGGATGAGAAAAATCAGTCTTTCATTTTGATTTTATTATTTTTTTGTGTCGAATGGGTTATACTTTACGCACTGTTCCTGCCGCTTGACAAGCGACAGGGGTGTGTGAAACTCTCTATCCAAGCATACCCACTAAACCCTCACTTTTGGGGGAAGCGCGTGAAATCCAGCAGGAACTGCTCCACACCCAGCTGGTGTTTGGACCCCGTGGAGAGGGGTCGCAGTCAGCATTTTGAATTGATCATTCGGTAGGCAAAATGGAACCTAATATTTTTGAATCTCAAGTTTCAATATGGTTTTACAAAGGGTCGCTCAACAGCCGAAGCCGATGTCGAGTTAATACAAGAAATTTTTGATGCCTGGGAAGATTCACATGATGCGTTAGGTATTTTTTTGAGACCTATATAAGGCATTTGATTGTGTTTTTTGTGAAACATTGATTAGGAAACTTCAGTGTTATGAGTTTAAAGATAACTCATTGGATTTTACTGAAATTTGAGATACAGTGCAGAGTGCAGAGGGTTGATATCAATGACAAAAGATCCCCTGGATCGAAAATTAAGATAGGTATTCCGCAGGTCGCAGGTTCCGTATGTAATTTGTACACGGTAGTTATATTTTATAATATCCCTTAAATTAAAATAAAAGAATAACACCGACTTCGAAACGTGAAAATAGTCATCACAAACGTGGTCCATATTAACAGCCTATACATTTTTTTAATTAACAATATTACCTATCTAATCTATACTTAAAATCGAACATCGAAATTTCCATGATCACTTTCGTAACTAGTTTTTACTGGTAAGTATTATTGTCAGATATATTGATCTACTTTCTTTCGAATTTAACGTAAAAGATACTGAAAAGAATATCTGGATCTCGAGGAATATAGGGTACATTAGGGTACGGGTAGCATTCAGATCATGGTAGAATATTCTATTGCTTAATTTGCTGCTCTCTCATCTCAAAAGAATCTCAACGATTTTCATTTTGTCAGTGTACTATCTACCTAAAGTCCAATATTATTAGTGCAATGTCTTCCTCACAGGTCAATTGTGACATATAAACTTATAAAAATATTGGACTTCAGGTAGATAATACAATGGCAAAATGCAAGTAGTTGAGATTTTACTGAGATGCTATTACTACGAAAAAATTTGCATAACTGGCCTACTGGTGTTATTAGATCTTACCCCCATTTGTAAGTTGTCCCACGCAGCTGTGTGCTCTATTCTTTCACCGTAAAACTGCCGGCTATTGGTCATAGTTTGTCTTATTTCGGAGGATACGTTATTCCAAAGCCCATAGCCGATTATCACCAGGGTCATCTCCAAAATCAGTACTATCGCCGACACCGCTACGTACTAAAAAACATTAAATAAATACACACTAATGTAGTGCTTAATAAATCTCACTGTTCTTGAAAGTTCAAGTGACTAAAAACTTCTTGCGAGATTATAATTATCTGCATTTTTTTACACAGGCACGAGCTCACGGGTTTTCGCATCTAGACTGTGATGTAGAAATTAAGTAAATTTCGCAAAGGCCAGTCGTATGATGGGTGACAAAAAAATTTTTTATCTCAAGTTCCTCCGTTCTTCGGAAGGCACGTCAAACCGTTACGTTGGAACTAGCTGCATCTGTAAGGGGTTAAACCCTATCCATAAATTCAAAAAAATAATACTCCATGACTTACTAAGTGGGCGCACTTATTGTTAGTAAGTTATGGAGTATTACTTTTTGTTCAATGTTAACGTAACTAGACGTCCACGACCCATTACGTGAACGGACCGTTTTCTTGGATGCAGAATATCGGTTACCTGCTAAGTAAGAAGACAAAACTCCAGCTCTATGTGAAATTCGTTAGTTTTTCAATTACTTTCGAGTTAATTGAAATCTTATGTACCAAATCCAAGTATGCTGTCTAAGCTTATCGCTCTATACCAGATACCAGGTGCAAGAATTATAAATATTGTACATAGATAAATATAAAGATATCTCAACTTCTTGGAAGCCATCTATCTAATTTATAGATGGCTTCCAAGAAGTAAGGTGCTTTTTAGTGCTTTCTTATTTTTTTTTAAAACCTACCTCATTGTTATGAGGAAGTATTTAAAAAAACCATTAGTTCCCGAAATCAAACTAGATGTCGCTAAGGTACTTTCTTGATTTCTTCATAACAACCCTTTTGATTGTCTTTCATGTATAAAAGTAAATTAGTCTCCAACACTCAATAAACAACTCATATTCTATTTGAACTTTTTCGTATTTGTACTGATATCTAAGTTTGGAACATTGCAAATTTCAGTTTTAATGTGTTAGTTAAAAGGAACAGAAAGGACTATCTTTGGTCAATTCGTTTCCTGCAAAAATCAACTTTTACTAGAGTCGCCATCTAGTGGAGGTGCTTTTTTGTAGCTTTCTTTTTATTTTTAAATACTTATTGGTATGCCTTTGAAAACTATTGAGAAATGCAGTCAATTTAACAATATCGTTCATTCAATAACATTTTAAAGAAGTCGTGATTGAATCCGCTATCACTTGTCAAATAGTTGTAGCGTAAAGTTCGTGAATGTCTTTCAATTCTCAAATTAAAAGGGATTGCAATATATTTAAAAAGTTATTACTATTTTTGTTTCTATTTTAAAGTGAAAGAATAAGCATAACCAAAAAATACTGTGATTTTTTTTTTTATATTTACATAAATAAAAACGTTATGGGACTAATATCAAGTTATGTCATTAATATACGCGATCATTGACTGTCATTGATATACAAACTAGTGCAAGCTCTTTTACTTTGGTCGATAGCGCCCGCATGCGGAGTGCAGCAATTTTGTGCTTATTTTCAGGCGATCATTGCCTGCCATTGGTTTATCCACTACTGCAAGCTCATTTACATTGGTCCGCATGCGGTGCATATGCATAAGGAAGTAAGTATTGGATAAGTTCTAGGGTATCAGAATGTAATATTTCAACGGAGCCCTCGGTACGCGAGTCCGTTTCATACTGGTAATATCTACTAGTAATCGTATTCTTTACCTTTTGTAGGTTAGAAAATATATATATCTTTGTCTTTTTAGTCTTATTATTATAGAAATATACAAATAAACTACATGCAAATAAAAAAATAAAATACAATGTCCATTATTAACTAAAAAACAACGCCAGAACGATTAAATAACTAAAAAAACAAGATCTCGCAAGAACGAGATTGCATTCCCTAGTCATGATTAAACTAAGTAAATTTCAACTAACCCCAATCACAAAATAGAAATCTTGTGACATAGCTGCATAAAAGCCGAGAGCCGAAGACACTATAATAATGGTTCCAATTGCTATTGCGAATGCCGGCACATCGTAGAATTTTTGAGTGATGAATAAATCGTATTCCTTATACGACACTAGCACTATTATTCCACACAGAAGTAAAATAATACCAGTTATCTGAAAATAAAAAATACTGTTACAAAGAACGAGCGGACATTGTACTACGGACGTTGTCCTGGATTTTTTCCAAAATAAAAATAGCATAGGTCTGTTACTTTAATACAGTTTCTTTGGTAATAAATATTTTCAATCAGTACAATCACTTAGTTATGCACTAGGAAACAACAGTATTGCTAATGTTTAAAAAACGGCGCTATCGCACCATATAGATGTTCAATCAAATAAAAAAAAAAATTAAGAATTTATAGTTCAAGAGTTCAATCAAACAAACTCTTTAATATCATTATATTATACAAAATACAATCTATCTAAATAGCAAATTTCATTAAAATTGGTTAAGTAGTTATGCGTGAAAACGTAACAGACACACAAAGTTACTATCACATTTGCAATATTAGTATGGACAAACGTTATACCTACTAGTATTATCTCGTAACACAGTAAATGTGTACACACAGTAGCACATTAAGCTAGTACAAAAGGTCACATTTTTCAAACAATTTTAATCCTTAATCTGACGAAGGTTACGTTCAAAATTGTGCTATTAAGATAAATTGAATTAGTTTAAAAAAAAAATTAATGATTTTTTCCTTACCAAATATGAGCAGTTTACAGCTCCTAAAGAATACTTCACTGATTTTAAAATCCTAGGAACCTTTATTTTAAATTTCATCTTTAACAACCACTTTGTGCTCAAGCGTAAAGAAACTAAAGATTGAGATGAGTTTATCGTATGAACCGATATCTCATTTTTATCTTGACATGTGTTGATCTAATCTGCACGAATGTTCTATGCCCTAATATGAAAATAAAAACAAGTTTGTGTTTCCTTTCAACTTAATTTTAAGTAATTAATGGCATGAAATTACAAAGAGTTGTAAGTTAATATTTATTTATCCACTTAACCACATGATACGTAAATTAGTCATAAAACATAGATAATACATAAATACTGGTACATAAAAAGTAAATCATATCATAATGCATACAGAAACTGTTATAATATTTGAATCAAAGTTTGATATTTTCTAGCATTCAATAAGTTCGCGCTTTCATTACAGGATGAGGAAGTTTTGAACAATGTTACCTGTTGCCTTCTAAAACACCCGAAATATGGGTATTATCATTATTTTTGATAGAGAATACTTCTATCGACAAAATGAAAAGCCGGTTCTTAAATCTTGCATGATAATGATAAATGTGCATCTATTATTAATAAGGGAAAAGTTTGTTTACATATACATATGTATATTATGTCATTGCGAAACCGGATAGGTTCCTTGCTTCACATCTGAATAACCTCCCCCTTAATATTCATATGACTAAAAACAACTTTAAACTTTGAGGTTAAATCTGCTTGTGAATATTGTTAAATTTTTTGACGTTTTGGAACCTTCACAGGCTTCAAGGCAACTAATTACTACCAACTACAACCGAACTATATACGTGGAACCACGCAAAACGAACGAACATATACCTATTTCAATCAAATGTATACAAACTTACTTTTTGTTATTTCGTTTGTACACGCATAAAAATTTCTAGTAAACACATATACTTTATTTATAATCCATTTTATTTATGCGGGTTTCATTCTATACAGTTATTAAAATTAGATAACGTGACGGTCAATCTAAAGCATTATTAGTCTTTTACCGATGTCAACGTATCGGTACTATCTGTCATCGCCACATCGTGGTAATCAATTGCTGATATTGTATAACGAGTCATTTGGCCGACTCGTAGTTTTGTAGTTTGCATAAATAAGTGACTTGACTATATAGCATTATGAAAAATAAATAGTTATTGCTTCACTGAATTACGAGTTATCGCTGTTAAAGCAAATCACTAGTTGATAATTAGTGAAAATGAGGTCTGATAAACTAACATATAATAATAAATATAAATCGCAGCTTAGGCACGGGAACCAATAATTGACAATAATAGAATAAAAAAACTAAGAACAGAATCACAAGAAAAAAAATAACAAATTGTAAAAATACTTATGAAAAATTATAATGTCTTTTCAGCTAGTCGCCAACACTAGTTGAATATAACGTCCATCGCTGGTTTTAATAAGAAAGAAAATAGGAACATGTAAGAAGTAAGAGACTACCGTTTTACACATCACAGACAATTTGATAGATAGCGACATCTACTAAATTTAATGATATTTTTTGTAATGGCGAGCAATACATTTTGTGGGTAAATCAAAAGCGCAGTCTGGTAGTACTGCTTGTGGCTTTATTTTGGATTGACGTGACGTGCGTGCTCGATATTTGAGTGCACTGTGCAGTTTTTGATATTGGTATTAAAAATTAACGATAAATTTGGCCGTAAGTTTTAATCGTAGTTAGTTTGTACTGTAGTATTCTGTAAAATAAAAATATTTCTTATCGTATCCGACAATAATCCTTGTAAATAGATAGTCTTGCGTTGTTTGCAAATCTAGAACGCAATCGATGTTTTAACATAACACAACACAACAGGGCCAAGACTATTGAGCTAGAAATTAAAACTATATTTAACAATTGTTTCAGAGTGAAGATTTTGGATTACTCGAAGATATAAAAATGGCTCTAGGGGGCGGTATGTCATGTGTGAAGTACCTGCTTTTTTGTTTCAATCTTTTGTTCGCGGTAAGTCCCCTTTAGCTTTTAATATTTTTTTTTGTTATTTTTAGGAATTATGATCCTTTCTATTGATATCGTGTTTTGTCTACGGTAAAATATATTATTAAATCTTAATGATTAAAAAAATAACAAAAATATGTTAGGCATAGAATTCTAAAGTATAATGAGTCATAGATTGCACAACAAGTTATTATGTGGTTAACTATATATTAATTTACTTTGACACAACAAATCACTCATATTTAACAGTAGATAAAATAATTAAACATGCATCGCCCATGCATTACAACCTAATGTAATAATACAAAACACCTCAATTGATTGGGATATAATTTAATATAATATTATAAATGTGAAAGTCTCTTTGTTTTGATGTTTGTCCGCCAAAAAGTGTCGTATAACTACTGAACAGATTTTTATAAAATTTGGTATATAGGGTAAACTCAAAACTATTTTATTATCTAATATTTTAATAAATTCTGAAAACAAATGACTTTTATCAAGAAAATATACCTAATTCTTTTTCACATCCTTACATACCAATTCAGACAAACCTGCTGCTACAATGATAAGTACTTAATGCTTATAAAGATAGGTCCATATTAAATGCTATAATAACACTGTTGTAAATGAGTTGTGTCATAAATATAAATATCTGTTCTTAATAAAGAAAAAACTACAAAATTCAACTGTCTCAAGATCTCTTTGTTCAATTTTTCACTGAGTAACTGAGCTCCCAAAACCCAACTGCCTTACATTCAGTTGCACAAACATCCATATAAACTGTCATTACTCCAAAGATTTTCAAACTTGGAACATTCTGAGTTTAATTATGATTAAAATTTAATGGATGTTTGTGCAACTGGGTATTTAAGATGGTCAATTATACTCTCCTTGATACTTTCGCTGCATAAAAGTATTTAAAATTAATATTTTCTTTCCATCAACAGGTGACCGGCCTGATCATTCTGATTGTGGGTGCAAAAGCCCAAATCAGTTTATCACCTTATGTAGAGCTGACGGGTGAAAACTTCTACATCTCAGGGCCAATAGTGCTAATTATTGTTGGTGTGATTGTATTCATTGTGGCCTTCTTCGGATGCTGTGGAGCATTCAAAGAGAATCATTGTATGATTGTAACGGTAAGTAATTATATTTCTTTATTTCAAGATATCAAGACTTAAGACATTGATCCAATGATATAATTTGTTGGGTATATAAACATGTATACGTATTTAGAATTAGCAGAGATATGCCTACTTAAGTGTTTTTCCCAATTTAAAGATTTTTGAAAATAATGTTGAGTCCCTTTTCAATACATAAATTCTTTCATACATATTTTTCCATTTACGTAATAGTGATTCATATGAAATGAAGTGTAACTATGACCTTGCATTGTCATGTGACCACCGACCGCCTGATCAAGTAGCCTTCGTTTAATTAAACAAGAAAACTGAGATACCTGTTTAATTTATCCACTTCATCTCCTGAGGCAATCCAAACTGTTTATGTAGCATATACATTACAGGATAATTATAACAACTTATTACTAAATGTAAGCACAACTGACAAACTCTTGAAATTCATAACTATAATTGTTTATTTTCATTCAAATTCACATGATTAAATTGAAGTGTGATATTAATATTGCTAATAATAGTTAAATAAGGATAGAACAATAACATTCTTTACTTATCATCGGGATAACTTTTATGATGACAAATGAAATGTTCTATTTAAACTTCATTGAAGTGAGAAATAATTATTTGCATACCAATTGAACAAATGAAACAGACACAATTACCAAAAAGTAAAAGCAATCTGTTGGCTAATATTAATAAGTTGGTGTAGTGACCCTGAATAAATAAATATTAGACAACATCACATACATTACTGATATTGTAATCTGAGACAACGAAGGTACCACAACACCCAGACCACAAACAATATAGCATTATCCATTTCCTGGCCAAAGTCGACCTGTCCTTATATGCAAACTAGGCTAGGGCGTTTGTATTTGGAAGGTAGCATGGCGTGGCCAACAGATCTCCATTAAAATTGTCACTACTTTAAAGCGACATTACCGATACAAATTTCCAAATTACAACAGTCATTAGAGCTCAATGTCGTCATTGAACGTTTGTGACAACTGGCCGTGTGTTTGCCCTAATTATTCGAAACTTTAATAATGCAGTACCTTAAAAAAGATTAACTCTTGCTCTTTGAACATAAGTCCCTGTCCACGGTATTCAAAATTGTCAGAACAGCAGTAACTAAGGAGTTTCTAATGAAGGAGATTTTTTAATGAGCGTCGTTCCAGTGTTTTGTCTAGGGCGCCAATTTCATTGTGCCGACGCTGGCCCTGAAAGGGAATCGAACTATATTCGGACCTAGGGAATGGTAACATTGAAAACTGCATACAATCCATTCAGTCACAGAGGTCATGTTTATTTAATATTTGTGTTTTTCCGAGCAATAGGTCAATAAATAATATATTAAACTTTATCAGTGTATTTATTTGTAATGAGTGCATTCACATATGTTATTATCAGTTAAAATGAAAATATTTATTTGTGTAACAAACTGGTCAAAATTATATTGATTTAAAAATTTAAATTTTAGTGTTAAAAGTTCATAATAGTTGAATTATAATCAAGGTTATATTTATGCCATGAGTTTGGTAAACAAGAATTTAATAACTATGCTACTGCTACTCGAGCTAATGTTTTGATTAGTTTTATTTGTGCACACTGTTTATAATACTCTGAATAAAAAAAAAACAAACTTTAATTAGGTTTATAACATTATTCCATAATCGATCTATCTTCAATTTAGGTTAAGATTTTTGTCATATACTATTCAACTGAATAAGGCTTATAATCGATTATAATTAGACTATCGACTGTGGCTACGTATATAGTAATATCTGCCAGCAAATTTGATCTTGTTTCATAAATAGATCCTATCTGATATTATAGAGAAGAAAGATTTTAGTGTTTGTTTTCTATATTATAGACTCCGACACTACTGTGTCAATTTTCAAAATTCTTTCGCCAAAGGAAAGCTGAATCGTGCGCAGATGACTTAGGCTAGAATTTAGGCTGGCGAAATCTCTGGAAAACTGCCAGTTAATTACATACAGATACACACCTAGAGATATAGAGCATCTAAATTAATCGTTTAAAGATTCATTAATAAATTGATAATTTTAAATGTATACTTAAAATAACCACTTAGGATATTAAATCACATCATACATATTGCCATGATTTTGTATTGTCCTGTCATAGTAATAGTAATTTTGTTTTGCTTGAATGTAATACAGTAAAGATCTTATATGATCATCATACATTGCTTAAATTCAAATTGGCTAAACCTAATTAGTCTGTAAATATATCTACAACCTTCTCCTAAGTCTGACAAATACTATGCTGAAAATCGCATCAAAATCCGTTCAACCCTCTTTTTTTGAAGTTCTCCTAACTGTAACGAATACTTTTCTAAGAACCACATCAAAATCGATTCTGTCAAACCCAAGATAATCGCGCACAAACATACAGGTCAAACTGAGAACCTCCTTTTTTTGAAGTCGGTTAAAAACGGGTATTAATGTTGCTTTTTTCAACGATCAAAATGTATTTTTATCGTTCTATCTATAAACCCTGACGCTAAGCGCGTCCCATCTTTTGTGTCACCTGGACACAATCGATTTACAATACAGAAATAACCCACAGTGTTCGCACTGATTTACCAACAATATTTATAAAGAAAGAGTTCTTACGTAGGTCTATACTGGAGGTCAACTCCTGAACCTTGACAAATGTATAAAAAATATTTTATTATTTGAAACGAACGACTTGTCCGTAGAATAAAGCGATACCGGTTAAAAAACCAAATCAGTTCAGTGTGTCGAAGATTTTGCTAATGTATTATTTTAAATGGTCAGTATAGAAAATGTTTCTATATTGCCGCTGGTCTGGGTGTAGTGGTACCTACCGTCACTGTTTTAGATTTCAATAATATAAGTGTTTCAACTTTTTTTTGTATATGCTAGCTAGATCGATTTATCGCCCCCGGGATTCCTTTCATATTGTTAATGAAAATTGTTTTCCAAGATTCCATTTATACATATATATAAATATTATACTAGCTGTTTCCCACGACTTTACCCGTGTAAATAATAACCTGTGTCAATACCATATGATATAGTATAGATATATACAAGAACTGCCCGTTTAAAGATATTATATTGTAAACAGAATATAAAAATTTTTCTATTTTCAATATTGCTAAATTTTCTAGAATATGATATCTTTTATTCTTGTAGCTTTGTGTAATTAAAATGTCACATTGCATTGGAGAGGATTTCCGAACAAACAAAGAACTATTTTTATCCAGTTACTACAACAAAAACATCAATGCATTAATTAATTGCATGGTTATCTGCTAGCTAACTCTACAAATATTTCCAATCGTTGAACGATTTAAAATTTTTATTGATTTAAAAAATTGTCGTGTATATTTATAATGGAGAGTGACTTCATTATTCAATTGTATTGATCTGGTAATGTCATGGTTTTTGTAAATATCGGTACTTCTATTAGAGCTGATGAGTTTCTGCTCGTTTTTCTTATCAGCCAAAAACATAGAAAGTTATAGGGAAATATTTTGGACAATTCAAAGGAACACTGTATATAGGTTTATTTAAATAAACATATTTTTACTTTTCAAAGCGTCAACAATGCAGGAAACAACCGTAACAAAACATGTTAATCAGTTAACATATAATTTTAATGTTCACGCCATATCGCGTAGTAAAAAAATCACATTTCATAATGAGTGTAGACTCATTGTCCGCAACAATGTATAACCCACTAACTCGACAATAATGATGGGACACAAAACCGTTATAGTGCTATTAATAAACAAGGTTTAGCGTCAGAGTAAATTTACGCTAAAATAGCAATTTTAGTATCAGTTCAAATTCATATTATACAAAGAATAAGCAAACCTATTACCTGCTAGAAGTAAATATTACTCCCGTAGAACCTCGTACTAGGTTAACCTATGCCAAGTCTCTGTTTAATAATTTAGTTTTGACTAATACAAAGTGCAGTCTCAGCGTAAATTTACTCCAACGCTAAACTTTGTTTATTAATAAATAACACTGATACAGTTTATTTATAAACTTACCTGAGAAACGTTATTTGGTAATTTTCAATGTTTTTAACTGCAACATGCTAATCACACTTTCAAAACCCGACTACCTCCGATGCTGTGGCTCGTACGCCGTTTGATGGTGCCGCTAACTCTGAGATCCTGGGTTCGATTCCCGGAAGTGATGAACTTTATGTTGTCCCTAGTCTGGGTGATGTGGTACCTTCGTTGTTTCAGATTTCCGAAATAGAAATACTTGAGCTACTTAATTTGGATTCTAGACAATGTATGAGATGTTGTCTTATATTTGTTTTTTATCAAACAAAATAAGCTCAGTTTGGTTCAAGAAGTGTAAACAATTTTGAATTTTTTTTTTTTAAATAAAATATATCCATATTCATTTGTAGGTAGTGTATCTATATTTTCCATTCATTGCGCAATTTTATTATTGTACTAATCTATGTTTTTATTTATTTCTTAATTTTGAAAACAACATGTCTAAATTAAAGTGATTGGGATTCTAAACTACTTTTTAAATAAAAAATACAATATTTTCAAAACACTTAAAAAAACTATTGAGTCAATAATGGAAAAATGCTTAAAAAATCCACTTTGTCAAATTAGAAATCTTACGCCATTACCTAAAGGCGTAGCTTATTTATTTATTCGTTACTGCCTAGTAAACAAAATGGCTGACTCCAAATAATAGAACGAACAGCGTCATTTCACACCAGACTTATATGTTAAACCAATTTATTTATTTTAGACGTGTTTTCCTCAAACCTCAGCCATTCGATATTCGAACTATTAAATACATACTGTGACTGATAATAAAAAATGTACAGTTAACGCCATAACTCTTGCTTCATAACATCGTGATATTAAAATTGTAGTTTTATAATCCGTAGGTACCTAATTGTTCAGATGACCTGTCATTGTCGTGCCGACCTTTGACACATCGCACTGGCCACTTTAAACAGTCATTTCCTTTCTTTATGATGTACTAGTTGATTGCTCGACAAGGCGGCATGCAGGAAACCTGCTTGTCGGCGCAATGATGTCATAATGCGCTACATTTGTTAACTAAAAGAGCATACCATATGTAGAACCAGTAATTTGTTAGCATAAGAACTCTTTTGAATTTTCTATATGATTTCCCAACAACAATAATTGATTCAGGATGCCATTAAAATATAAAACATACCTTATGATAACTGTACATTTGCATTTATACACAGTTACGTCTATGCTAAGAATATTACAGATTTCTACGAACAGTAGCCCGTCTAAATCCTATATTATGAATGATTTCAACTACCTATAAGAAAACTTTTTATTCACATGAATGGCTCATTAAATGCTCCTAAATCCGGGCAAATGAATTTATCGATACATTAAGTTTATGTTAGTAGGTTTAATATCTAAACAAATGTTTAAAAAGATTAACTTATTCATGTTATTCGTTGGATATTCATCGATTATTTCATTAACCGATGTATGTTTGCATCAACGAATCAAAAATAACTGAATTAGTTTAGATCACAATAGACATTAAATGTAAAGTGATGAATTACAAACTATTATATTATACTTACGTCGAAATAGTGTACACTTGAAATGATCTGATAAGAGACTAAAACAATAGCCTAGCCTTATGGCTAGGGATAACAACCCTAAAAATACACACGACAGTTGGTTTCCTAATGTTAATGTAATATTTAATCATACTAATCAATAGTAAATAAAGGGTTAGCCAGATAATTTAATTATAGATCGTACTATCTGTTATTGACGTACCTATACCATTCCGTCCGTTTTCTTTACTTTACTTTTATTTAATCAATACCGCTTACCGACATTATAAAAAAGAGACTCTGTGGAGTAGACGTTTTTGTATTTACTAGCTATTATTCCGCATCTTCGCCAAAGTTAATTTTTACCAAAGTCCACCTAATGCCCTGTAAAATGTTGTGAACACGTACTCTTTTTGGTAAACAAACGTCCAAATTAAAAGGATCACCTTTCATCGGTAGAGGTTAACGACCGTCCAAGAAAGGGGACGCAGATAAGCCCCCAGGTACGAGGTGCCGCGAAGTTGACTGACTCGATGCGACTCTTAACTCAAATTCGATTTATCAGTGATTTACATACTTTGACCGTTCTTTTTATGTATAACTTTATACAATTACTTACATTCAGTATTTTTGTAATATATTACTTTTTTATTTAACAATTTTTAGTACCTTTTCAAATTATATTTGATTAAGGTATTTGGTATTTTTGTGTTATAGGGCGAATGCATTATTCACCGTCCCTGCTATTTATGGGCGACAATAGGATGTGACTCCAACCACATGAACCCGCCCGAAAAATGTTTGGAATACTTTAGAGTACCATTTATGATACATTCGGTGAATATAGTTTGCGCTCAAACAAACATTATCTTATCAATTCCGAGTGACCAATGTTTTGATGTGTTGTGTCGTCTTGGGTATCTATAATGAGAAACGATATGACTCAGTGGCCTAGTAGATTTATTTGTATGCTTTGTCAACTTTTCTTGTGAGAATTTCCAAAACAAAATTCCGGAAATGCCTAGATTTGTATAAAGCCTTTTTCAGGGCCTTTGGTAGTCTTTGTACCTAAAAAGAAAAAACACGAAATCGTTATAGAATCATTTGTGAGCCCGTATATGTGTCAAAGATGATTGACTCCGACACAACTATATTATCAAGTTTTTTTTTTTAATTTGAAACACACATCTGCAAGTTGATAATCAAAACATGGAAGTGCAATTTATTTAAATGAATTAAAAAACACTATTTTTTGTGACATCATATGCCCTGGCATATGTACAATTTTAAAATACATAGTTTTCAAACTGTACAAGAAAACAGGCGATAATTGAAATATTGCCCAACGAGTGTTGTAGGAAAACTAATAAATAAAATTTATTTTTTTCAGTTCTCCGTGTTCCTACTGATCATCTTCGTTGCTGAGCTGGCTGTGGGCATCGCTGGATACATGAAGCACCAGGACTTGGAAGACTCAATCATGCGCAACTTGAACGCCACCATCAAGGAGTACCCCAACAACCCGGACGTGAGGAAGACCTTCGACATCATCCAAACTGATGTAAGTATTCCATTTTTTTTTTAAATCGCTACACTCGTTTTAGAATCCAAATAGTTTGATAATTGCGCAGAAAAGGGGTCGACAACCTTATCAAAAGGTAAATCCAAAAGCTACAATTTATAAAATATCACAGCTATTAGATTTTATTTAAATAACTTCGGATATCTATCTTTCAGTTACAGATCGTATCTCAATTTTAAGAGTTTCTTCAGTAAAATATTTTTCTGTAAATGGAACTAAATTACAACAAGTTTCCGATCCCTAGGACCGGGAGCTACAAAAATTAAGACGGACAAAATTATCACACAGATAATATCCCAGCTTTAGAGTAGCAAACTCCGTCTTATATGGTATTTATTTTATTAGAAAGCCAACGGGTTTTTTTCTAAAACCAGATAACACTTACATTTCATTAAGTCGATATCAGGTTTTCCTTACATCATATTGGTCGTAGTGATGTGTTGTTGATTAATTTAAGTCGATAAACAAGCACGGGATATTTTTTTTTCTTCACATTTACTTTCTAGTTATAGTAAATTCTAATGGGCTTTCATTATATTCTTATCTAGGTAATGTCAGAACGCCTAAATGCCAAAACATATATAGGGGGTAACTGTTGACCCATTAGTTCGAATTTAAACTTTATACCAAAGAGTAAATTAACATTAGATTTTTTACGCAATACCCATACAATACATACACAATTACACATATGCTTCCGGTTGGAAATCACTGTTCTATATTTTTTTTAAATCTGATTATACCGTTACGCTTTTCGTGCAAATTTAGAAGAGTCGATTTCATTATATGTTGTTGAAAAATGTAATTAGAATAACGTTCAACTGCGGTATTATAGATCACGTGATCGTTTAAATTAGTCATTGTTCGAACGCAAATCAATAATATCAGTGTAATTAATACTTTTAAATAGGTAACAGAAGCCACTGTGGCTTTAACTCTAGAGCTGTTGTATCAGTAGCGTGACCTTGATGTCATCCTGTCATCAAATGACTATGCGAGTCTATTTCGCCATGACATTTTTGTTCTATTGTTCATATAAAAAGATAACTATTATAACCGTGGTAAGGGTTGCCATCTCCTGAAATGTAAAAAGTCTGACTCTAGAAATCTCCTGACCCATCAAGCAAGGTTGATACATTCTTGCCCCATGTCACGCGGGTTTTTTTATGAGCATTGAAGGGAAACGTTACGTATCGCTAGCCATATATCTTTGTATCGTTTCTGCGTTTACTTTATGATCTACGCGACTCGACTATGAGTTTGCTGCCTCCATCCCTAATATCTATGTCCGTTTTTTGCTTTCTCTGCTAGAAATATACAATATAATAAATAAGTTCACAAAGTAAAACACTAAATCACGATCTAAAAAGTTTGTAACGAGAATTTAATTTTATAACGATATCTATATTATAACAAAGGACAGCGTAGTCGTATGCCACAACAATTTGTTTTGTTATGAAAGTGGCATACGACTAATTAATTTTCAGATCCGTTTAAGCATAAGCTATCAATATATAGATATAAAATTGCAATGTACTAATTAAGCCCTTTCATTTGATACCCTAAACGGAATGATGGAGTAATATATTTTCACGCGGACAAAACTAAGACGCTTCTAATGATACCCTATTTGTCTAGTTACGATGAGTAGTTTCGAAGTTATAAGGGAACGGGTAAAAATTCTTACATACATACATATCGGCCAAAATCTTTTTCGTTACGCCGTGTCGGGTAAAAACCAATAATAATTTCCTCCGTCAACAGCTGAAATGCTGCGGCATCTACGGTCCTGGAGACTGGACGAACAACAGTATCCCGATACCGGAGTCTTGTTGCTCGGCGCAGGAGATCAAGGCGGGGGCCCCGGTGCCCTGCGACGATAACAACATACACAAGGCGGGCTGTTTCGGTAAACTCGTCGACTTCCTAAGGAGCGTTGCCTTGCTATTGGGCGGGGTCGGACTGGGCATCGCTATAATACAGGTGATGTGATATTTCATGAATTTCACAGGATTCAAGTCGAAAAAGTCAAATTGCTTTAATCCCGGGGTGGTCAAAGCTACATAATTTACCTTACGTTGCTGACAATAATGTGTTTTGAACGTTATTGTCTTTTCTTTTTTCCCGTAACAAACAATCGTTCGTATTTACCTAGTATTATATAATATAATGGTGTTAAGAAGGTAATAATAATCAAAGGTCTTGACCTATATTGTTTAAAAAAAGTCCCGACTTCATTTCTATTAATTAAGTATGCCAACCCGCGTAACTTGACCAACTTGAAACGCTTTGTCTACACACCAAATATTGCTTTTCTCGATTGTGCCAATATCTTTCTCTCTACCCACTTCTCGGGAAAATTTTGCCCCGCATACACATTGTCTTTAACGCATATCCTGTCGGTCTGTCACGTTACTCTACTGACTACGATTTAATTAATGACATGAATCATATGCACTCAACGTTAAATATCGTTCAAGTCAGCTACTACTATTTAACAAAACTTAATTTGCCCACGCGTTTGTCCCGCCAACGTATACCACAACGCTACCGAGATTCTTAGTGTCTCGCCTGTGCGCCGTCGAGTTGTTCAACTCGAACGCCTGTTTGTTATATACACGCGTATTTAGTAGTTTTACATGTGACATTTTATTGGCGAGAAACCACCACACTGAATCCCCGGCCTAAATTGGCGCCCAACGTGGGACCTCATTTTAGGCCAGAGACGTGTCTCCGGCTACAATTACACATCTATACGTATTTTTTACGTTTACTCTCTTAAACTACTGAATCAATTAGAATGAAACTTGATACAAAGACAACCTTGGGAAATTATAAAGTAGTTTTATCGCGAAATATATCCCATTCGGGCGAATCCACGGACGGAAAGCTAGTAATAATATGTATTGATAATAGTTTGTGTAACGTTAAATTGTATGTATTCCAGCTGCTGGGGGTGATATTCGCGTGCTGTCTCGCTCGCTCCATCCGTAGTCAATACGAAACTGTATAAGTCAACAAGGCTCAAGTGATTCACATATTGTATCGGTGTCTATATTGAACAAATAACCTTTCTTCAAACTTATACATATTATACATACACTTTACATGTGATTTTTACCAAGTTTACCTTTACGTACCTTTCATATTTTTTTTATATTTGAGAATTTTTATTTTTTTATAGTTTTATAACATAATTTTTATTAGAGATGGGCTGACCAATGGGTAATTTCGGTAATATGAACTTTGGGTACAATCAGTCACTCGTTTAAAATTTGATTTTGAAATTAGTCGAGTGGGCTAATTTAAAAATCCATCGCAATCCTTTTTAAAACGCATTATGGAAAAAAGTAACGTTTTAGTTACATTCGCTTTCGAAACAAAGTTGATTTATATAATCGGTAATTCAATATCTTTCAAAAAAGCGTCGTTGACTTAAGCACATTAAGACGTTTATATGAATTATTAAAAAAAAAACTTTTCTGCTCTCAAGAACAATTTTGGTTTTGCGGGCTACAAGAACACATATACCTCGATTCATGATATATTTTTTTAATTTGTTCATAGAATTTTTTATTTTAATTATATAATAAACGCAAGAATCCGACAAACGAATGTGGAAATCGTCGGAATTACCAATTAATTAGCTGTTGGAAATCGACCCATCTCTAATTGAATATATTTGTTTCATATTTAAAACACTAGAGTTACCATATCGACGGTTAATAAAGGAATAAATATTATATCTGAATTCAATCAAAGCGGATTCCAAACATGTCGTTCGGTTCATTGACCTTTCAACCGTCGATATATTCTTGAGACATTATTAGGTATAGTATTATTGTGAATGTTAAGGACTGTGCACCATATAGAATCTTCACTACGTGGCTCAGGGTAGAAGACTGATTTTTCCTTAGAAGTGTTTGCGGAACGCCAAATCAATTCAACTCCAATTATTGTTACCTTTTACAAAGTATACGTATTCTCGATTTACTATTCAAAAACGTATTATAATCTTGATACCCTATTGTAAGTCCAATTATATTTAGCTGTGCACATTGATATAGATTTCAAGTTTCGCTTTATTACTCTCTTCATCTTGTACGCTAGTAAAAAAAAACATATTAGTCTCTTGATCTCGACAAATCATAAAGCGAACTTTGAATAGGTGTGTTTTAGTAACCGAAAATGTTTGTAGCTAATTGTAAAGACGTGTATTCAATAGATGGCAAATATCAACCTAAGGAACTCGCCTTATTATTTTAATTTTGCTTCAAGAATTAAGACTGAAAACAACAGTAACGCAACATGCGTTTGAGAAAGACATTGATATGGTAACAAACTTTTCTTAAGTATAGGAATTTATATTTGGAGTCTCTTCAAATTATTTGAAATAATTTGAAGCAGCGCTAATAAACATTTTATTATCGTTCTCTTATATTTTGTTATCATTAAAGCTGCCACAGATCAGTGTAACAAAAGTATTAATGTACGCTGATCTCTCTGTTGTCACTCAGCATTTGCTCTTCTAATGGATCCACGACTTTACGTATTAAGAATATTTATGTATTAAGTGAATGTATTTTTAGTTCAGAATAAACTATTGCTGCGAATGGGTGTTTCAATTTGTTATTCCTCAGACTAGAACTGCTAATTTAATGTTGTCTACTCCGACCGAATACCCTCACTATATCACAACCTCTATCTGTTTGAAAGTGATTGTGATGGATTTAAAAATTATACAATTAGGCCAGTTTTTATAATTTACTTCGTAGTAAACTAGCCGTTCTCACTATCGGGGAGGGGGAGGGGCCCTTCCCCGATAGTGAGACCTCATTTAAAAGCAGAAAAAAATATAATTAATTCGCTTTTAAATGAGGTACACTTTAGATGGAAATTAAATTTAAATTAACCCATTTGGCCATCAGCGATAGCATCAAAATATAGCTTTTTCGTAGTTGAAAGCATTTAAAAATCGAACCGGGTTTCAAAGCCTCTATCAGGCCCAGATCTAGGGAGAGGGCAAGAGGGAGCACCTGCGCCAGGCTCGTGTTAAGGGAGAGCTAAAATCGTAATTGTTTTATACCTATTCAGTTTAAAAAAATGAACTTAAACATAGGCTACTTTGGGACTGACATGCTAACCCCTAAAAATATCACATATTGCAAAAATATGATAATATAAAATCTGGGCTCTCAGAGTGTGGAGGAAGGGAGCGGGATACGATAATTTTTGCCTCAATTAAAAAACCTAGATCTGGGCCTGCTCTTTATAAGTAATGATATTGCGTCCTAGCTGTTGGCGCTGCCATGCCCGCGCCACAAACTAATTGAAAAAGGAATTCGACAGAGGCTTAAACCTAAATTTCTAGTTTATGCAACAGAATTGCTACCATTAATTACTTATGAGATGTGTTGGTACACAATACATGGCACGCTGGCAGCGGCCACTCTGATTTTAACACGTTAAACGCCCTGTAGGTCACCAGTGACCTCACTTTAAAATATTTTTGACATTTTTACAATGGCGTTTAACGTGTTAAAATGAATTCTTGATCTATCCTATCCCTTATTTGTCAATCCGTTACGAAATAAGGACAAATGGCCAAGTTACGTAGTTTAAGTCTATCTAATCCTGTGAGTTTGCTGGTTTTAACAAATGACCCTTCTATAAAATTCCCACATGAAGGTTTCATACAATAAAAATGCAATAATTGTCCTAGTTACACACATTTTATTTCCTATTTATACCATGATATAAATCGTAACAAAGGATGATTACAAGGGATCAGAATTCATGAACATTGAGGAACATCAGTCGAGTTAGATACAGCGGTTGTCTTGCAAGCAACACATATCGATTTACATTACCTATATAAAATAATTAAAAAAATCACATTGACAAAATATATCCAGTCCCGAATACAGATAGTATCCATCTCTTTGTATGTCGCAAGCATTCGAATCTCACAGCACCAGTTTCGCAGTTACCAATGAAGTCGTCCAAATTCATTTATTATAAATATACAATGAACTCCCATTTTACACTATCACCAAAACATTCATAATACGCGCGACATACATTTTTTTCGCTAAAATCAATTACAACGCTAAGTATCTATCATTAAAACTAGGGTTAAGACATACATTACCTAGACAATAAAATAACTTACATCTAATAACTGTTTACATTATTAACGGAATACTTCAGAAAATAATCGGAGTAACATCAGACTGGTAGGCCATTGGGATGGGTGCCCAATTTTTGGCACTTGAATTACGCAGACAAAAGTATGAAGGATTAGCAATATGTAGAGTGGATATTTTAATACAGCAAATAATTCTGCCTTTATCCGTTTAATATCAATTAATTAATGGAAAATTAAACATAAGAAACACAATGCAATCAATCGGTAATATTTCAGTTCGCACAAAAATATGCCTAATAATATTTTTGCTTATTAAAATCTGTTAATAAATAAAGTTTTTTTTTTTTTATTTCGGTTGTTGGATATGATTGGCAAAGAGAATGGTTGCAGTCTTTAAACGACTTTGCCCAGAAACAAAGCGCGAGTCACAATGTAATAATACCTACTGTAATTATTACAAAAATTTTGAATAAAAATGTAACTAATATTGGTTGAATAAAAATCAGCCACATCATATTTATTTCCATAACACATCAAAGTTATTTAAAAAAACAGGTATAAAATGTTGAGTTTTGATAAACATTATTGTTGGTTTAATGTATTTTTTTAAGAAATTATGTTTAGATTTCGTGTCGCGTCAAAATTTTGAATTTCTTAATACTTTCCTAAGCCCCCTTTACAGCACCTATTCTGAACAAACTGAAAAGCCAGTTAATATGTTAACATTTCACTAACCCATTTGGATTCACTGTAGGGTAGTTCAGATTCTTTCCTGTAATGAATCCAAATCCAACAAAAACAATTCATTTAAGAAATAAATTGAACTATTAATTTAAAAGCGTAACCAATCTAAAAGAAAATTATTTTAAATATTCACCAGTACTAGGTACCCAAAAATGGATTTGTACCCACAACCTTTCCGGGCGGCTGCTCTAACTTACCGAGTTGCCCGAGACCTTGGCGTGACTGATGAATTTCATAAGCACTTATAAGTTTCACTACTAGTGAGCGTATTTCATCGATATTCAGACAATTTACAGCCAAAAAAAAACTTAAGCCTGATCGACATCCGTTTTTAGGTTCCCAGGTCACCAACCGGAATTCCTTATCAGGAAAATACGAAACAATACGAAAAAGAAATTTCTGCTGGCGTCCTAAACTTTCGATTAAAATGAAAATGTTAGTTCAATGCATTGTAACTTGTAACCAATTTTTATAATCAAGTGAACGAAAATATAATTCGCTATATTCTTCATTTATAAAAAACTTGGGATCTTCATACGTAATAAAGCTAGTAATAAAATGCATAGATAAGGGCATATTTGCCCTTAGGGTAAATGTAGCTTTGCTCAGGGCGACAGGCTGAAAGATGTAGTTACAGCACGATTTTATTTTTATCATGATGTAATATTCACTTTACACGCCGCTGGATTTTATTTAACTCTTAACAAAATAATTTTCTTTTTTTTTACACTAGAGCCCCGGGTACCGAACCTCAAAATACACTGCAGATTTTAAGGAACAAACATTAGGACTCAGGTTTCTATCGAAACGAGAAATATCGATATAACAGCAATAGCGGTAGAATTGTTGGCAGCATATCCAAGTCGGTGATTTATGTATCGTAATAAATGCTTCAAATTTTTTAATAACAGGTAACGAGGCTAGTGACTGCAAATGGAAAATTAATGTTGGTTTGACTCATTTTGGTTCGTATAATAGTCTATTGAGACAGGTCAAAAAGGTCGCAAACATTTTACAAAACAAGGTAATACCAGACATCAGAACCAGTGAAAAAAATTTTTACTCAAAAATAACTCCAAATCAAAAACTTTTTTTACAGTCAATTTAATTTATTCCCAAATATTATTTTAATAGGTCACAGCAGATACTTAAAATTGTTACTAGTGTTTGAGATCAACGCAGTTTGCTGCGGCAAAATTGACTCAATTCACTGGTTATATCTAATAATAATGTTTACATACATACCTCAACTCAAATTATAAGATAATCAAAACATGTTAAATCTCTCTAATTACATAGGAGCAAGAGTTAACATTATCCAAAGTAATTTAATATACAATGCATTAAGATAGATTATTATCACCATTTTCATATCCGTATAAAAGAAACATCAACGAAAACCAATCAGTATGTAACTAAAAACCTTCCACTTAAAAGATTCCAGATGGAATATCTGAACCATACAGACATCACACGTTCATTGCAACAAAATATTAATAAGCCATAAAATAGAATATATGTTTTCTGCAGTATACTAGTACATTGAAAACTCCGATATTAAAATATGCACGAAATATAATGCAGAAAATATTGTATGGACATCTGAATAACATTGTAAGTATTATAATTACGTGAACAGGATGGATTTAAAACAGAATGGTATTGAGTATGATACTTTAAGTTGTTCCTTGGCGGTTGTGCGTGGGCAATGCAATCATGTCGCGTAACGCTTGGTCCAGAGGCGGGCGATGCGATCGTGCTCCTCCCTGTTCTGTAGATATTGTGTCGCAATACTACCGACTAGCGGGTCCGCTGTAAACGTACATAAGAAAATTTAAAGAACCAATAAGTCTTATAATAAACTACTTGACAGCAATAAAAATAAATTACGAAATCTGGACCTGAAAAGCATTAGGTCGGATGTGCAGAACCAGCTAAAATCACTTATCGCCATAACGTTGCTACACTCTTTTTTCTCTTTCCGGCAAATTAACTCTTGTATGTTTGTGCCTTTTTACTCATGAGCAACAGTCATGCATAAAGTCGGATCAGACGACTTTTTCAAATATTTTGATTGCATTTAGCTATTTCTGTTTTTATACAGTTTTTATACATCCGACCTAATGCTTTTCAGGTCCAGAAATATTGTAAATGTTAACCTATAATGTTAACAAAAACTGCATATATAGTGTTTTAAAATAAACTGTAAATTTTGCAAAATTGAATTACAATCAATCTATGGTTTACAAGAACCGAAACGCGTGAAGCCATGAGGAAGCATCACGTGACGTCACATTTCAATAAACTAAATATCAACATCTTTATTGCAAGTGCAACCAGTTCTCATGATTATTGAAATGTGAAGTCTCAAAATACATCCAAAATGTCGTGTTACTTATTTTTTCTGTGGGATAATTTAAATCATGATGTCACTTCATCTTACACAAAATTTTGACTAATTCAAATCAAACTTTTCATTCATCAAACAAACATATCACAAATAATTTAATTTCAAAGCTTAAATTAATATAGCATTTAAAGTTTCTTGGAGTATATAGTAAAGTATTTGATGTCACAATAGGGAGCAGTCTTACAAACATGAAGTTGTCGTTGTTAGCTTTGGCGAACGAGTTGTAGTTAAAATGATAATTTGAATAAATTGACAATGACAAAGTAACAAATACTCCACAGTGTGAACACTTATGTGATTATATAAATAAGTGCATACCTGTCTGCCACCAGGTTGTGGTTTTAAAAGTAAAATTTAAAAAGTATTTTATATGTTCCAAAACTAAAAATTGATTCTCTAGAATATTTGTGTTATTTATTGGCAAATCACTCTCTCAAAAAGAAAATCAGAATTGTTCTTTGAATAGGTCTAAATAGAAAGGAATTTCTAAATAATGTTATGATAGATATATGCCTGCAAAAAAACTTTCTCATATTCAAATTAAATTAATAATAATTACAAACCTGGATTACAATCTGTAAGCAAGGAACAAATGGAGAGCAAAACTTTTGATATTGTTAATGCCGGAGACCAGTTGTCCTTTAATATATCTAAGCATATCACACCTTGGCTGTTGATGTTACAATGATATATCCTAGTTCGGAATGTAACCTGTAAAGTAAAAATATTATGATCTTCCATAATCCCCGAGATCTTTTTGAATACTCATATTTTGGAAACATAGGTTAAAAAACTGCAAATTTTTTAAGGTATATACTAATTTTCTTACTAGTAAGTTCATAAATGTACTATCTATTGGGATCTCAATTATTTTTAAAGTACGATAATAATTGTTTTCTTGTTAGTGTCATCAAAATTCTTGTTTATTACGAGTCATAATTGATTACCTTGGGAGGTTTGAAAGGGTACTCTGGAGAAAAATGGATGTCCAGGAAGAAAACTCCACCCTCATACACTGAACCAGGTGGTCCCAAAATTGTAGAAACCCATTCATACAGATTGTCTCCCTTTGGTCCAGCACTACAGTTCGGTGGTGGATCCAATGTGATTTCTGCAAGCTCCTTCTGAATTCTCTTAGCGGAAGTGCCAAGTGCTTTTGACATTTTTGAGTTGGGTTTATTTTCTTTAGATTCCGGTTTGCTGTCAGTTACTGTGTTACTGGAGCCTGCTCCTCCTCGGCCGCGACCCGTACCACCTCCTGATGAACCAGATGCACCGGACATTATCTAAAAGCACCAAACTCAAAATGCTAAACTAAAAAAGATGCAAACAAAATTCTAAATAAACAATGAAAAATAATCATTCAATTTTATTCATGCACTACAAAAAAATACTCCAATTTATAAAAACACATATAGGTAAATAAAAAATCGAAAAAAGCAATTAATATAGAGTTAAGGATTAATAAAAACCTTAATTAAGGAGTAACTTCTTGTGAGATGTTTAAAAAAAAGTTTTCTAGCCAAGAACAAAGGACACGAATGTAACCACTCATTCGAATTTAATATAGAACTAAGGAATGAAAACAAATGTACATATAATCATTACAAAGTGGTTTACAGCTTATTCACAATGAAATATTGAGTGGAAAAGAATTATTTTGTACCTTACGAATAACAGGCGGCCATCTTGTAAGCTGGCGTTATCCGATAAATATATTTTTTTCGACTCAGCAATGACCCAATTCAAGAAATAGTAGCCTCCGAGTACGCAACAGATACAAGAAATTTATTTCATCCAGAAATCGAACAGCTTATGTACTTTTTACGAAACTCCTCGGCAAATGCTCCGCACTGCAAGCGTAATTTAAGCTGCCCGTTACTATTCCATGTATTACACACCTAGAATATAAAAGATACACGAAATTACCTTTCAAAAACGAGAAGACTTCTTTTTGTTTCTGCCAGTGATATTAAAGATATCTTGAAAACACTTCTACCACATTTCATCCATTCGCCCGTCACAACCTCACCAACACAACACAAACAACTGAAACATTCACAGCAGAATGCACACACGCTTATTTTTTTTATCTTTTTAAGTACTTACTAAATCCATGCATTTACTGGCAAGTTTAATTTAAGATTGCTTAAATAACATATACAAAGAAAATATTATACTGATTATTCACTGATTAACTAAGAAAATAAATATAAAATTCATAAAACGATCACCGGATACCCGGATAGATACCAAAGAGTAAAGTAAGTATAGTAGCGATGAGCGATTATTATTTAAAATTAGTCATTTGTTCAGCTTAGTCGATAAAAGTCGATTACAATTGATGTTATTCAATTGTTGTTAACAACTAAACCTTGCGGCTGCAGCGGGCGGCTATGACAAGCTGCGGTTATCGTAATTACTTATTCGATTAATATGTAGCTCAGTGCCATATACCCGTGCGTACTACTTATGGTGCGGTGCGGTGCGGCGTGGGCTGCGCTCGACTGCAGTTATTATGTGATTGGCGCTAATATATTATTTAGTTGTCTGTTTAGTAGTCAATCCACTAATTTGAGGGCACATCCACTCGATCGTCGCAATGTAGTTGTTACTTATCTACACTATCGAGCGACGAATAATGTTGAAATATCATACAAACAAACCTTGAAATGTACCATCGCTAACCTTTTCAGGGTTCCTTACCGAAAGGGTAAAAACGGGACCCTACTACTGAGACTTCGCTGTCCGTCCGTCCATCCATCTGTCCATCTGTCTGTCACCAGGCTGTATTTCATGACGGTTCATGAACCGTGTTAACAAGACAGTTGATTTTCACAGTTGATGTATTACTGTTGCCGTCGTTTTTTTTTTCCATTCGTGTGCGAGTCCGACTCGCCCTTGATCGGTTTTTTGTATTATGTTACTTCTCTTTCTTGTTATAAATAATAATATAAATACCAACTAATTATTAATAAAGTCAACGCAACACCATAATACTCCGCGCAGTTAACCGATCGCATGCACATCACATATAAACTGATCACATAGTGTGCGTATCAATGTTATTCGAATAATCATGGCAGAGAACTACTAAAGCGACAATCAAATGCACAGTAGTACAATTTTCGATTCATTCGATCGTTTTTTTTTTGCATCAATCGCCCATCGCTAGTACAGTAAGTAGTTACTATAAATTAAGACGGTTGTTATTCGACTAATCATGACAGGGAACTACTAACTGCCGGTTTCAATAACTTACTATATCCGTAACTGGAGATTTAAAGTATACCTGTCTTTGTTGTTTACAATGTAAAAGACAGTGACAGATATACTGTCAAATCTCCAGTTACGGATATAGTAAGTTATTGAAACCGACCGTAAATCGACATTCGAATGCCCAGTAGCACAATTTTCTATTCAGTCGAACGTTTTTTTTTTTTTTGCAATAATCGCCAATCGCTAAAGTATAGACACTAAAGGGACACCTTTAAATTAAAAAAAAATATAGCTATATTAGGTACTCTATACGATAGATGGTCGAAGCTCCGACCAGTTGGCATTGGTAGGTTCGTGCGTGGGCTTGGTTTGCGGTGACATGTGTCACTTTCGTTTCGAAAATAATAATGTATTAAATGAAACTTCAAATACCGATGTTACAGGACATGAGATAGATATATTAATAATACATTCACATTGCGTATAGCTCAAAGATTCAAAAATGTAGTTTGATAGCTAGTAATAAATTTATAATATAGTATAAATATCATAATAAGGTATTAAAGCACAAATCACAGCAAATAATATTACAGGAACCAACAAAAACAAAAAAAAGAAAACTTATAAAAAAAGGATTGTATCTTTCCAGCCAGTCGCCAACATAATTATTATAATTTTCTAAAGTAATATTTTTGGGTTTAGCCTGTGAATGAAAGACTAGTCATTATAATTTATTGGCGTCCACTTACATATGGAGTTTAAATTAAGATAAAAGATCCTACTTTTCAGATAAAAGAATCATTTTGACATGATCTATTTACTCTTTTCATCTTTCACACTTAACATTATTTCTTTCTTTCATATTACCTATAAAGTTTCATTCACCACATACAGAAAGTCACCAAAATAATGAGGAAGTATTTAAAAAAAACATTAGTTCCCGAAATTAAACTAGATGTCACTACGGTACGTTCTGGATTTCTCCCTGACAATCCTTTCGGTTTTCTTTCATGTTTAAAAGTAAATTAATTTTCAAAACTCAAGAAACAACTCATATTCAATTTGTACTTTTTCGTATTTGTATTGATACCTAAGTTTCGAACTTTTCAAATTTCAGTTATTTAATATGTTAGTTAAAAGGAACGGAAATTACTGGCTTTGGTCCATTGGTTTCCTGCAAAATCAACTTTTGCTAGGGTCGCCATCTAGTGGAGGTGCTTTTTAGTGCATTTTTTTTCTTAAAATATACCCTCATTGAATTTTAATCCAATATTAGTCTGACTTATCGGATCCATTATACTCTGACATTTCTATTCTTTTTGTTCTAACGTCATGGATTGACATTTAGATCCTACAATTTGTGCTGCCAAATAGTGACATACATTTTTGAAGATTCTTAATTTTTTAAATAATTCCTCATTAAATATTCAGTTTGTCCGAATATTGCTATTGTGGCGACTGATACATAGCGACATCTATTACATCGCAGTAACATCGCCACAACAATCGATAGCGAGAAGACTAGCATCGTCACAGCCATCGATAGCAAGACGAACTGCAAGAAGTTTCAACAGCAAGTAACGAGATGGCGCTGTACCAATACAATCAGCATAAAATTAATAACTAGAAGACATTTAGAACAAAGAAACCTACATCGCACAGAATAAGTTTCATTACCAATTAACATAAATAGAACGTCCAACCTACATCGGTTGGACCGCGGTCCCCGGGCTAACAACACCTAGCTCGGAGGGAGACAATATCCTTTAGTCTCCCTGGCCAGTTGTCTCCATCACCACACTAGGGACTCCAACCTCCAACCTTTGGGTTCCTAAAGTGGTGACCCCCGAAGAACATCAGCAACCTTCAGCATCACATCGCAGCCATCACTCTTCATCAACAGCCTCTCACCCTTCATCATCAGCTTCTCATCCCTCACCAGCACAGTCACTTCAGCAGCAAGCCAGCCAACACCAAGGTCCATCACAGCAGCATCGACGACGCTTCCTGGATACTTGGCACCACTCGACGGCATCATCCCGACCTGGTCCTCGCAGCCCACGACCGGACCTCAGTTCACACACAACTCACCGGCGTGGCAGCCCTGCACACCAGCAGCTTCGGTCCCGACGTCACAACCTGGCGCTTGCAAGCTCTGAAGCACCGACTGCATACCACCTACTATCAATATGGATCGACCTTCGGTCTAGGGGGAAAGTACTGTGGCGACTGATACATAGCGACATCTATTACATCGCAGTAACATCGCCACAACAATCGATAGCGAGAAGACTAGCATCGTCACAGCCATCGATAGCAAGACGAACTGCAAGAAGTTTCAACAGCAAGTAACGAGATGGCGCTGTACCAATACAATCAGCATAAAATTAATAACTAGAAGACATTTAGAACAAAGAAACCTACATCGCACAGAATAAGTTTCATTACCAATTAACATAAATAGAACGTCCAACCTACATCGGTTGGACCGCGGTCCCCGGGCTAACAACACCTAGCTCGGAGGGAGACAATATCCTTTAGTCTCCCTGGCCAGTTGTCTCCATCACCACACTAGGGACTCCAACCTCCAACCTTTGGGTTCCTAAACTATATTGGTTATTACTAAATGACAGCTGACAATACTGGTGGTTACATTAGCGTCCAGCTTGTTAATTAACATAATCTTAATTAAAAAACATAAGCTAGGTATACCCGAAGGTGCTGAGAATTTCACACGCTAACACGATTCACGCGTGAAAGTCCTAAAAGATTCAATGACCAAACGAACGAACGAAATTAAACTGCGGTGGGCCGTGCAGTTAACGCGTGAGCGCGATCGTTGGCAGACGTTTCATTGTTAATCCTTGTAGCCCGCTAAGTAGGTAATTATTATGAGCGATCCCATCTCCTGTGTTTTAACAAAGTTTACTAAGTCGATATTTTAAATACTTTGGATAAGAAGGGTGATTATATATTAATCTGTGTATGTTTAAAGCAGTTTATGTGTGTAAATAGATTATAAACGTTTGTTTAAAACAATTATATTGTGAGTAAATAGTGTGAATAAAATACATGATAGCAAATGTATACAGTAGATTCTTGTACTTAAAATCAATGAACTTTTAAATACGCCTATTATTGAAGTATTGACAGTCCTAAGCCTGAAAAGTATGAAGGGGAGTTTATCGATTTTCGTTTAATTTAGTTAGCACTGCTATAATTTATTTAGAACTATTTAGACTAAATAATAATGAGTTATTGTTTAATATGGCACGTAATCTATTTAACGTACAACATAAAATAATTAACGTGTTACAAGATTTAGCGTTTTTAGTACAAAGTACTTTGAATTAACACGTTAATAAATTAGCGCCTTTATTACGTTAAAAAGAAATCATTAGTCCGTTAATGATTTTTAGTCGTTTTGAACACCTCTGGTTGACAATCACCGACTAGGAACTGCTTATTAAAATGTTGTTCATTGGGTTACTTGGTGGACTTGGTGGCTTGGTTACCTAGCAATAGTGGAATTACTGGAAACGAAATATCTGATCATCTAGCTAAAGATGCAGTAAATTGAGGTGATATGTTTCTCTATAACAATTTTAATCAAGATCTGTTATCTTTGCCCATGCGCTACTTACAGACTAAATGGAATGCTGATTGGACCACTAGTAGTATATTCATAGGAAATTACTATTTACTAATTCAACCTGATATCTTACATAAACCTTGGTTTCGAAAAGCGAAATATGAAAGGACTGCTACAAGTACTCTTTCACATATGCGTCTTGGAAATGTTTGTTCTCCAGCACATTTAGCCGAACTTGGAATCATTAGTGATGCTACCTGCAAGTGTGGGATGGATAATGGAGTTCTAAACCATATCTCTTTGCTTGTATACACGCACGGTCTTGCTTAATGACCTATTGTCCCTCCGTGTTCCTTCCCCAATATCAATCGTTTTCTTACTATCCACTAATTACCTATCCATTTATAACTGCATAGTATCATATACAGCGTGTTTGGTAATACATACACATGGCCATACCAAACATGGCCATACAACTTAGCACAAAGAACATAATTAATATGTCAAAAAACAATTTCACGTAAATTGAGATTTTCATACAAATATTTGAACAATTTGTTTTCAATTAATATTCTGCAAACCTGAAAGCTTATACGTGCCGTCCCGGCGTACTCACTCTCTCTCTCTCACACACACATTACGTCTCACTCTCTTTCGTTTCCTAGAATACACTTTGATTTCGCCGACGCGCGCACTTGACTACGTATGAGTTTACTTGTAATTAAAACAATTTAAGATTAAACAGGTACATACCTAGAGGCAGCGTTCTAATCACTCTCTCAGCTCTCACTTGTCAACATTACCTACACTTCACCTCCACTTTATCAGTCCAAGGTCGGCCACCGCATAAAACACACATCTCCATTCGATTCGACACAGACCGTGTTACTCTCGACGTAAAATCATATCCTCTCTCGAGTGTTCGGCCGGCCTTCCTGTATCACACTATGGAATGAACCAGTTGTATGTAACCGATTCACAAGTGCCGCGAAGCACTGTTAAGAAGGAAGACGTCGAGGGTTTTCAGATCTTCCTGACACGTGGCGCTCGTCATAAAGCCGCCGAGCCGCAGCAAGATTACCGTCACAAGCACCAACACACAATATCATCTCGTAATATTAAGCATTTGAGTACGAACTCATTGCACTGACCGCACACAAACACAACACACAGGTAAACAGAACGAGTATGAAAAACAAACCAAAAGTCCCGAAAGAACGAAAACGTAAGTTGACCTTCTAAATTCTGAAAACTCACAAGTACACCGATGAAAGTCTCCGACGCGACTGAAGCAATGAGCAAAACTACATAGGTAATTATTACAACTCGAACACCGATGTAGGTACCTAAATCAAAAGTGCACCGATTTAGGGTTCCGCGTCATCAAATTCTGTGTTAGGTAACCTACCTAACAAAAAATCGTTATTTTGTTATTTAATTGAACAATGAAATTTCAATGAAACTTATTATACTTTTTTTTTACTGACGAAATTGATAATTAGGCTGTTTACTTATTATTTCAATTTTATTTACGCTTTTCACGGTTACAAAAGAAAAAAAAGGCCATAATATTAAAAGTGGTTACCTACTTTAAGACCAAGTCATCACAAAATTATAAGGCATAAAAATTATTGATTAAATTAGAAAAGAAACGAAATATTATTTATTATTAGACCTTTCCATTACAACTAACCTTTATTTAATTATCATTTAAACTAAGAATAAGCGAGATATTTAGATTATTAATATCATTGTATAAGTCCGTATTTTATTGTTTCGTGAAAATAACACTGCTTTATGAAAAAAAATACAAAACTTCAAAGCAATTAATCTACAGAACCTTACTGACACATCAGAAACCCGAGTTTCTCAATACACATCGTCGTCGATTTTATGTCTCTGTCGCTCCTTCTTGCATAGACTAATGTGAGCAATAGTGCAGTATCTAAGTTCAATCAAAGTATTTGCAATTTCTTTTTTATTTTGACTGTATTATTAGAGAAGTTTTCATAATAATAGTTTTTGAAACACTGGTAATCACAAGATTGATGTACTTTTATGGTTAAAAGTCATTTACTACTAACTTTTTCTTTGTTTTGAAATAATTTACCCTCGGATGCGTATTTATTCTAGGCATTTATCTTTAGATTTATTTAACTTCTGTTATTTTTTAAACTAGTTCGGCACATGGAGTCGATGACCAAATACAACACAACAGCTGTTTTTAGGGTCGTCAGCGTACAGTTTTACTTCGAAGAAAAAAAGCTAAATATCTAGGTCATGTGCTGGTTTCAGACTTAGTGATCATTTTTCTGTGTTCTATTCATCATACCGTATGTGCCATATTCGGGATTATACAGGTATTACCAAACACGCCGTATAACAGGGGTGGCCAACTTGTTTAGACCCAAGATCGACTTTTCACTGATGACACCCAGTACGATCTACCAATTAATTTGCTTTTTAAAATCTTAAATGAAACAGCATAGTTCATACACAATTATGTTTGATTTTATTTATATTTTTTGAATTACCACGATCGACTGGACTAATAGTCGCGATCGACTGGTTAGCCAGCCATGATATGTAACTTTAAATAATATTAAACTCTAACCTATTCTGTATTCTATATGTACTATAAAATTATGTAAATAAATCTTTCTTCTCCTAATTCCTAAGCCTTCTGTACCTATCCCATAAAAAATCCGTTCCAACTTTTATTTCCTTTCATTTCCGATTCCTAAACTTTGATTGACAAGGCTAAGCTCAAACTGTAAAGCCAAATGAAAAAGAAAACAGACCATTTCTTTAGTCTTTTATCGGATTAATTTATACTCTTTGGCTGACATTTTTGTGTCAAAAATGCAAAGTTGCAGTTGGTTGCTATATTTTTAGTCTAAAAGTAGTATTATAATTAGGGGTAAAAAAACGAAAGCGTTTTGTTTGGTGTTAAAATATAATCAGTTTAACAAAAGTGAAAGAAAAACTATCAGAATGGGTAAACGACAACATCAAAAAGATAAGATGTACATGAAACTTAGTAGTTACTTACCTAAACAGATCTTTTTGCTACTTAAATAAACCAATGTTATATTTGATTCGATCAGGTATCTCACGTATACAGAATGGACTACGTTGTATGGAGGAAAAAGGTCAGGAACTGCGGTGGAAGAAGATACGACATTCAAAAGACTCCCCTATGACCATTGCTGCATGTGCCTGCAGCCATTTGATGATCCATACTGTGATACGGATGGAAATGTTTTCGAACTGCAAGCCATTTTAGAATTTGTTAAGAAGTTTAAAATTAACCCTGTTACTGGCAAGGTAATGTATAATTTAGTAATCCTTACCACAGATGTACATCATCTGCATTGCACTGCATAAATTGATATTAATAATAACATACCTAATAAAACACAAACAGAAAATATTAAAGACCTAAGCTATTAAGCATTAGACATAACCACTTAATACTTAACTTTTTGGGCTTGAAACCCATTGTACAATTTTATGCACAATTTAAATATTTTCAAGTGCTGAGTATTTTGTAACATTGTCACTTTAAATAGCAAGCAATATTGTAAAATATTGCACAGTTGTAACTTTATGAAAGTCAACTGTCAAGACAAAACAACTTTATAATAGCCTCCTGACTATTTGAGGTACTTTTTTTTTCAGTTTCACCATGAAACTTAGACATATTACTATTAAAAATCCTAATATAGTGGCAAAAAAATTTAAAAAAAATCTTCAGCCGGAAAATCTAGTTTTCCACAATGTCACTTTTATAGGATAAATGAAGAGTATAATGATGTACTATGCATAGGACATTGCCTTTTACATATCAATAAACCTTATATTCATAGGTATCAAAATACTGAAACAATCTTGAATTTATGATAACATATTTATTATTTTAAATACTTATTTAAAATTAATTCATTGATGTTAATATGAATCAACATTATAGTTATATTCTTATTTTGTACTCATAATTAAAATAAACTTATATAAAAAAACTAAATCATTTTAACATTTTTTTTTCATTTAAAAATACTGCAGTCGAAAAAAGCACCAAAAAATTTATGTGCTAAGGCAAAAAACTAGAAAACTGAATCTTTTAATTTGTGTTACGCTCATAAAAAGCCACAACCACATCTTTTCTTACAAAACAAAGAAAAATATTGCATTTCCAGCAAAAACGGTAGCAGTTTTTCACAACTTGAATTGCAGCAAACAAGTCTTCTTTGCTGTTATTGAAGGTGTAATACACTATAGTGACCTTCCATTTTTATGCTGTGACAGTAGTTCGTCAACCTCATTTGGGTCACCCTCTCCTTTTTTTGATTTCATCATTATACTTGCATTCTAAATTTAGCTTACAATCTCTCAATTGTAAATATTCCAACAGTTTTCTCCTACTACACACTCACTTTTCTTTCCGGTACTGTAACCAAGAATTACCGATAGCCAAATTAAATAAATGAAATGTGACTATAATCACAGATTATTAAATTACAGGAGGTAACCATATATATGTACTTCATTTTTCATAGTTACGCTTGGCGGGATTTCTATAGCTTGGCACAAAGTTTTCTGCAATCCAACTGTTATGTCTATATTATATCGGTATTGCGAAGTGTTGTTCCACGCCTACCACCTTGTCTTCCACATATATGAATTTTACTTGGCTTTTCTAAACCTACTGGCAATACTTATATAGAGATACAGGTGTAGAATTAAATGATTGGTCTTCAACTGACAAACTCTGTAAACATCTTTCTAAATAAATTTCGCAATAATCCCCTTGTAGAATAAAAGAAGAATCATCATTGGATACTTCAGAACCACTCTCAAAATCAGAGTGATTCAAGACTTCTGTGATATTTTCTTCTGTTAATCTTGGAAAAAAAATAGTTTATCCTAAAAAAAAATAAGAAAAAATTAAATTCCATCTCTATGTACCTCACCTAGAACATTAGCAGTACATTCAAACAAAACTTAGTAGACTGACATCGTACTATGCAAAGGACATCTGAAAACCACATATTGTGGGAAGACGAATAAACATCTGTTTCGAAAAATAAATCAAAATATATTTATTTCACCAGTCAGCCTAGTCATTAGCATCTACTTTAAACAGAGATAAACGATAATTATCATAATTTAACTAGATTTACTTACTAGCCTTTTGGCGTGAGTGCATCTCTCCACGTCTCTCGTCGACGCCATTTTACTAAAATTAACGGGTGACCGGAGCTCACGGAACGAATTTTTTTTTTACGGGATACATATAATATTTTACTACGTGCTATTTTCGACGTTAAAGAAATGAAAAGTCGCTGAATATTTTTTTCTAAATTGACGTTCTATGAGTAGCACGAGAGCGGTCAGGAGGATAGAATAGTTTCAGTAGTAAAAAATAAGTTATGAAATTGCACAAAAACTTAATTTAACATCATAATAAACAATACAATTAGAAATCTGATTAAGAATCTTAAAATCCTGTGTTTGTGTTGATTACAGATCATAATAAGGAGATTTTGAATTTGATTTATAATCACCCACTTCTCTATTTCCTTTGTTTTACTTTTAATCTTACCAATAAGATTTAGTATTTCCAATGTAGCCTGTTAATTGAATGGCACCATCAATTAAAGGGCTAGCAACCCAATTAGATGGCTGATTAAACCACTTGACTGTGACATACAAATCACAATGACGTCATGAATATGACAAAGACCCTTATTATGGGTATAACAAAAGTTTAAATTATTATTTCATTTTAAGGCAAGAAAACATTTTTATTTTTCTGAAATATTTGTTATATGGTTTTTTAAAATGAAATAAACAGTTATTATTTCAAACAGAGTAGAATACCCCTTTATTAATAAATCAAAAACTATACTACCAATCCTGACAAATTTCCATTTTACATAATAACTACATTTTTGCTTATAACTACACTCACAGGCACAATTAATGGCCCACCTGTTACGACATTTATTACCATTATTTTCTTTCCTAAATTTGTGTCACCAAAAGGTTTTCAGAATTTAGTCATTCTTTATACTTGTTGGCTGTTGTGTTACCGAGTTAACATTTCCTGTTATTTTCTATCATAGTGGGCGAATATTGTTTAATTTGAAATAATAGTGTTTGCTCATTGTTTGTGATTGCAAAAAATGCCACTTGATGCAACTGAGCTATATCAGTTGCATCAAGCAGTGACGTTGCATCGCTCGCACACTCTGTGTACCTCGAGCTACAGTACGAGATGCCATCAGACGGTTTCGGAAGACAGGCTTATACACCCGTAGGCCAGGTCAAGGCCGACGTCGGTGCACTTCGATTCGAGATAAAAGTTTCTTTGTCGCCAGTGTGTTAAGAAATCACTTTTCGACCGCTACTGAAGCTTCTTCGCATCTTTTTGCGGTGAGAAATGTCAGTGTCTGTGAACGCAATTTGAGGGCTTTGCGTCCAGCTCGCGCTCCGCAACTGCTCCCACAACACCGTAGAGCTAGACTTGGTTTTGCGCGAGAATATGGTGACTGGACTGTAGAGGAATGGAAGAACGTACTGTTCTCAGAGAGAGCAGAATAGCCTTAAGAGATCCAGATGGATGTCTGCGTGTCTACTGGAGTTAAAATGAGAGGTTTGCTCCATGCGTTATAACTGAAACAGTAGGTTACCAGAGAGGGTCAATAATGGTATGGGGAGGAGGTATCTTATGAGGCTCGCACCGATCTTGTTGTATTCGATAGAGGAAGTGTAAAGGCTCAAAGATATGTGGAAATAGTTCTTCATACCTTTTGCTCCGTTCATTGGTGACAACTTAAGATTAATGCATGACAAACCACGTTGCCATATCCCAAGATCCGCCAGTGAGCACCTAAATGAGGTCGGGATTCAAGTTTTACTATGATCCGCACGCAGTCCCGGTCTTAACCCAATAGAGCACATTTAGGACAACCTTAAAAGACTTTTCCGAGCAAGAGTACAAGCCCCTACGGTTATAGGAGAGCTAAAAATGGCTGCAATAGAGGAGTGGCACAATATCCCCCCAATCGGATATAATATAATATGGTCTAAGTTTGGAGATTTCTGTGAATTGAAAGAAATGAAGGTACCTGTGAGTGTATATTAACTGGTAGTGTGGAAACACTATGTGATACAATGCTCGCAGCAAGATCGTGCTTCATTATGGGGCATATTAGACCATTTTTAGTTGCTTGGTGTGGATTATGTTGGCACCCGCTTTGTCTCATGCAATCAAAGTGCTCTGATTTTTGAATATGGATCCGTTGATGTGAATGTGACTAATTAATATATACCTGACTTTTTTTTTTCAGAAAATCGATATCAAGACACTAACTAAACTTAACTTCCACAAAAATGCAGAAGATGATTATCACTGTCCTGTTCTCTTTAAACCTTTTACAAAGAATTCTCACATTGTCGCAATACGAACAACAGGCAATGTGTATTCATATGAGGCAGTGGATCAGCTCAATATTAAAGGAAAAAACTTTAAAGACTTGATTAATGATACCCCATTCACAAGAAGTGACATTATTACTATACAAGATCCAAATAACTTGAGTAAATTCAACATATCTAAATTTCACCATGTCAAGAATAATTTGAGAGTTGAAACGGAAGGTATTAGAACTTTTTTGTTTTATTTGCATCAATGACATTAATAATACTAAGAACTCATGACTGTTATTATTTTAGAGGAGATTGCTATGAAGAAGGATCCACAAGCAAGGCTAAAAACAGTCTCAGCTGAAACAAAAGATATTTTACAAGAATTAGAGAGAGACTACAAGGCCCCAGAGAAGAAGGAAGTTAAGAAAGAGGTATATTAAAAAATTATTAGTTATGACATGCGTATTTACTATTAACCTAGTAGTTTAACCGAAGTAAGCCCTAAAGTATTTATGTCAAACTAGCATAGTATTCTGACATGCTTAAGATCAAATCAAGTTGGTTTTACTTTGAGTTTTACACTTATAAGTGTAATAGATTTATAAAGAAACTCCAAAATCTTTATTAGCTGACTGTTTGAATATGCCTTATACATTAAGTCTACCTTTTGTGTATCTATAGTAAAATAAGAAATAAATAAATAATAGTAGAATGAAAATCTGTCTAGGTTGCTGATAAATTTAACGCCGCTCATTATTCTACTGGCATGGTAGCAGCCAGTTTCACATCAACTGCAATGGTGCCTGAAACTGTACATGAGGCAGCTATCATATGTGAGGATGAAGTGAAGTATGAAAGAGTAAAAAAGAAAGGTACTTATTACTTACGACCGGTTTCTGAATTGAGAAATGTACAAAAGCTCAAGTGATTTATGACAATAACTTAAGTTTGTTACTTTTTACAAGGTTTACAGCCAGTTGCACAAACGTCCATTAAATATTTCATTAGTTTAAAGCAACATTACCCATACAAGTTTGACATTCATTAGAGCTTAAAGGCGTCATTAAACCTTAATGGACGTTTGTGCAACTGACCGTTAGTTTTTATCAAACTGCTATCAACTGATCAGCCCCCTAATTGTCTAATTTTAAATCTATTGCAATCGCTTTCAGTTTGAAAGGTGTTGCACAACCATTGCTTGTTTCTGAAGACAGTTGAAAAAAAGTATTTGTATTATGCAGCAATGGTTGTGCAACACCTTTCAAACTGAAAGCGATTGCAATAGATTTAAAATTAGACAATTAGGGGGCGGGTTGTTCCGTATTCATCCTATGTTGTCTCATCCTATGCATTATTTTTTTTATTTACTAATCCTTTTTATGTTCCTTACTTAACCTGCAACAATTTAATTCATTTTAAACGCCTTATTCATTTGATCGGTTCATCATTAAACTTTTTTAAATCACCTTAAAAAAAATAAGATTTCGGTGTAAGGTCTGAACAAAAATACTTTCCTTTTTTAATCAACGTTAATTATTGTACAAATTAACAAATCTTACATTATCATGTTACTTACTACATATCAGTAACATGTGTAAAACAAAATCTTTTGTAACTTGAAACGTAAGTAGTACGTAAAAATAAGGTTTAAATTGGTAGTATTTATTTAAGTTAATAATAATTGGAAAGTAAGTTATTAATTAGTGCTCTGCGCCCGAGTGGTAGTTACATGTATTTCAAAAAATCTTCATTAGTTTCAAAATTACTGTAGATAGCTGGTATTAGTTAAAATATTTGCGTATGTTTATGCAGCTTGTTGAGGGTGGTGATCCGGCTCGAAGGACCAAACTGTAGGCGATGCTGTATAACCGTGGATGATGGTGAAAAACAAAGACGAATTTCTTCTATAGACGTTTTATTTTTCTTCTTACTGGCTACTTATTACTGCTTGATTATACTGCTTGACTGACTTGACTTGACTACGAATATTTACAAATTTGGCCCTACCCTTATCCTAAACTTACTATCTAACTTAGATACTAGTGACGCGCGGCGGCCGACCAATCACAGCGCGTTTTACGCCCGCGCGCCGGGTGGGGGAATCGCCCCCACCGTGCGGACGGCGCCTACGCAGCCAATGGGCTCCCTGATAATTCAGCTAATGTAGGCGCTGTGATTGGTCGTTCGATCTGTACATTTTTCGGCACGTGGCTGTCGTCAACACAGCTAATTGTAATAAAGATGGTATTTGAAATAAGGTAGATTTATGACTTTGGTCAAACAAAAAACATTTTTTAAATTTTAAAACAAAAAATGAAAGCCTTTTTACCATTTAGGCAAAATTAAATGTGTGGTAACGAATCGTGAAACGGGTGACAATACTTTGGAAGCGCATTTTTAATTCTACTCAATTTATAGCAATTAGTACATAAAAATACTCAGAATGAAATCTAATAGAACAAACATATTCATTGCAGAAAATTTGTTTCTGCGCCACCAGGGGCGCGACCGCCTAATACTTGGACGTAGCCGTCGTCGTAGCTATAACCTACGCTTTATAGGTGTTTCACATGAATCTGGTGATATTGTTTAAAAATTAATGGTTTTTTATTATATACATATTTAATCAATGCTTTTGGTTGTTTTTGTTTACTGAATTATTAAAGTTAAAAGAAATTTACAAAATGTCGAATTGGTACAAACAATGCTATTTCGAAATGAAAAACAAACCAAAATGTTTGATAAAATATATAAAAATCCAATTAATTTTAAATGAATATAAACAGATTCATGAGAAATATCGATAAAGTGTAGGTTATAGCTACGACTACGTTCATTAGTTAGGCGGTCGCACCCCAGGCGTCTTCGTACCTACTATAACATACTAATATATTGAGGCTTAGAGAGGTCTTGCAAATTTTAGCCATGAGCTCTGCGTCTATATTAGGTAGGCACCTAAGGTAAGAATTTACTGAAAAAAATTGTACCAATAAAATAGGAAGTTTTTTAGTTACGCATTACACAGCCAGTTGCACAAAAGTCGATTCAAATTATCATTAGTTTAAAGTGACATTACCAATACAAATTTGACATTCATTAGAGCTTAAAGACGACATTAAACCTTAATGGACGTTTATGCAACTGACCGACAGACTCACGCCAAGAAGACTCGACGAGACTTGAAGAGAAATAGTTGCTCTGTTCACACTCACGGTGAGTTCTCAATAGATCTCTCCGTTCTCGTATATGGACGATTTTGCTAGAAAAGGTGCTTTGGTATATATGCACTAGTTTTGCGACAAAAAATGAGGCCTAGATGAGAGTGCATGGTATAAATTTCTCTTGGGGTGAATTTATACCATCCTCTCTCATCTGGGCATGACAAGGTCATTTAATATCCAATGAACACACTAATAATCAAATAATTGAACTCATGACGCTCTGTATCTAAACGAGAATGTGATGGTGTTCTCTTTCTTGCCCGAGACATCCCTTAAAGCGGGCAAAAAAACTGACAACAAACGGAGAAGAAACGAACCCGTGAACGAGAAGACGAGAAACATATCATATTCTCGTGTCTCGGGTGTTCTCGGGGCTTTTCGGCATGAGTCTGTAGTGCTTATAGGGTCTATTATGTGGCACTTTACGAATAACGGTTCATTTTACAACTCGCAATAAGAGCGAGTAATTACGTATTGTCTGTAGATAGGCGATATTTCCATGCAATTATTATGACACGTAACTTAGGTAGTACAGGTATTTTCAAATATTTCCTTAATTTTTGCGAATTTGAAGTAATTAATTAAAGGAAACGATGCGTAAATTAACTGCATTAAATAGTCAAAATCGCCAAAAGTGTAGTCTTGGTTCTTAAGCGTCGATAGGTGATAATACTTTTAAAACTAACCATCCATATTTAGTTTATAATATTCGAAATATTAAACATAGTTGTGGTGAATAAGGAATACGTTAAGGATGAATTAAGAAACATATAAAAGGTTCAGTTAGGAATACTAGTTTCGAATGAGTAAAGAAATGGATGAGATTTCATAGGATGAACAGGGAACAACCCAACTGATCATTAAAAAAGCTAAAATCTGAAACGATAACATTTATAAGAACAGTTTGGGACATGCTTAACTTAATTCATTTCAGAAACAGGATGTTAGTAGTTAGAAATAAATATTTGAAAGATTCATAATGACATTTAAAAATTATGTGTATTTTTACAGGGTATGTAAGACTTGTTACTTCGTATGGCCCTTTAAATTTTGAATTATATTGTGATATGACACCAAAAGCTTGTGATAACTTCATAAAGTTATGTAATATGGGCTACTACAATGGAACAAAATTCCACAGATCAATAAGAAATTTCATGGTAAATTTTCACAAACTGAGAGTCCACTGAATTTTTGGAAAAATATTTCATTTACAATTATTATGTTATTTTCAGATTCAGGGTGGCGATCCAACAGGTACTGGACTTGGTGGAGAATCAATATGGAAAAAACAGTTTGAAGATGAGATCCGACCTAATTTGCATCACACTGGCAGAGGTATACTATCTATGGCAAATTCTGGTCCTAATACAAATGGATCACAGTTGTAAGTAATAGTTTTCTCTTTGTTAATTAACATGGCAGAATAATTCAAAGTATTTCTATATGTATTTATATGTAAAGTCAAGAAATAGAATTATTGATTTAAAAATCTTTTTTGTCTAACAGTTTCATAACATTTCGATCCTGCAAACAATTGGATGGAAAGCATACAATATTTGGTAAATTGGTTGGAGGATATAACACTCTGAATGTAATGGAACAAATAGAAGTTGACAACAAGGACAGACCAATCCATGATATTGTCATAGAAGTAGCACAAGTATTTGTTGACCCATTCGCTGAGGCTGAGGAAGAGGTACTAAATATCTGTAAAGAGAATTTGATTTATCCATGTTAAATATCATGTATATTATATTAAGTTCTTTATTTTTTTGTATATTACATCAGCTTTAAGATCATGGTCTTTTTTTAACTAGTTTTACTTTGAACAGCTTATAGCAGAAAGAGCAGCTGAATTGAAACGTCAAGCGGAAGCAGAAGGCCCTGGTGTTAAACCAAAGAAAGCTTCTGCACAGCCACTTAAGGTGTTCAGAGAAGGTGTTGGAAAATATCTGAATTTACAACAAGCCACAAGCAAAGGAACAAAGATCCAGGAAATCCCATGTAAGAAGCCAAAGAAAGATGCAAAATACAATTTTGGAAGTTTTGAGTCTTGGTGAATGTAATGATTTTATATATGTAAATAAAAGTTGTATTTGTAATGTTTTAAGTTAATATATTAGTGATTTACTAGAATACTGTCATTTTTTTATTATATCTTACAACTAAAAACAAATGACTTACAAACTAAATAAAGAAATGCTTATCTAATTCTTTAAAGGTATTATATATTTATACTAATTATAATGAATTCTCTAATAATAAAATGTGATAGTTAATATTATTTGATTTCTTAATTTAAAATATCATCAAGATTCTACATGTGACATAAATACATCATAAATGGATTCATTTAATTATACATAGTAAAACAAAATTGTACTAGTTGTAAAATGGTCACATTTTAGTTGTAATTCTGACGCCTCCTTGCAGTTCTCTGCTTGTCAAATCGCATTTCCATCTCTTCCAACACCTTAGGTGTGTAACGTACTACTAATTTAACAGATCCGACAGCTTGCTTGAGCAGCTCTACAGCTTTTTCATGATTTTCACCTTCTACTGAAACTCCATTTACTGAAAGCAATTGATCTCCTCTTTTTAGTCCACCATGGCGATCTGCTACTCCCCCGGGAATAATACGTGATATATAAATTGGAGAGTTCTGTTCTTTTCCTCCCATTACATTAAATCCCAAACCCTCTTCAGTTTTTGGTAGCTCAACAACTCTAGGGTGAGCGTGGCCTTCGGCGGCTGCAAAGGCAGCAACAGTGGCTTTAGCTGTTGCCGATGCACGAATATCTGCAGAACCTTGTATGTCTACGGTTTCATAAACATGTTCATATACTTCTCTCACAGCATTCAAAAAATCACTTTGTAACACTTTTTGCAGTGCAGCAAGTTTCGTTGCTGGTACTTCTCCACTTTGCTGCAGCTTTTCTAATAATTCGATAGCCCTTTTTATGTCTCTGGCTAACGTTAGCTGTTCACCAGAACTAGTCATTGTCTTAGTTTTATTGAAATGGATGAAAAAAGACCGTCCGTAGGGCGTAACGTAAACACGGATCACAGACCAACACGGAGATATCTAATTATTATAATACTACTCTTTGGGAGATACTACCACAAATTTTGACACTGACACCACTTCCAGGGTGACCATTTCAAAAATCTTAAATCTATCCGACACTTCCTAAAAATATACCATCAAAAAGTACAAATAGAAAATGAGTTGTTTATTGGGTTTTGAAAAATAATTTAGTTTTAAACATGAAAAAAACCGGAAGGGTTGTCATTGAAAAATCTCTTAATTTCCGTACCGTAGCGACATCTAGTTTGATTTCAGTAACTAATGTTTTTTTTAAATACTTCCTCATTAAAACGAAGGGTATTCCGTATAATCGAAAATCCGGATATTCGATAACAAAGTAAAAATAATCAATTTTGAAAAATCAACCAATTTTTATTACGATATTGGGTTTCCATTCGTCGTCGCTTAGATGATACAATATATAAAAAACCAAGCTATATCGATAATGAATAGGCTTGTGTCCTACAAGTGAAAATACAGATTTTTGTTATTTCTTCGATAAATATGAACCATTTTAACTTATAAATGTTTAACAAAACAAATTTTAACTCACTGATTTGGAAAATATTTAGCTTTGAAAACTTGAAAAAAGTAGAAAAAATCTACTACAAAATTTGCTAAAATACATAAGGCATTAAATTAGATATAAAAAATGTTACAACTTTCATTATAACAGCTATAAACATAAACGCTCAAATAACAAAGATATTACAAAAATTGTCCAGACGCCCATACATTTTTCGCTACTGTAGCACCGTGTGACGTCATTGAGTGCCTTGAATTTATAGGGAGCGTTTTCGGCCAACTAGCAGCAGTTCTACAAACACAGCACCGTATCTCCGAAACTATTAATCGCAAACATGCTGTTACTTTGACATTATTTCTCAGATGTTAATGGACTATTTATTTATGAAATAAAAAAAAAGGTGTCAACTAGCCTATTAAATACTATGTAATTTATAATTTTGATTGGAAATAACATGTTATTGATATTTGTGCGCTTCAGTTGTAACATCTGTATGAGATACGATTTATCATATCTTTCAAAGTAACACCAAGAGCTTTAAAAACTTTTACATGAGATAATACATTCGTGCCAAAGAGGTAATCTTTTTACTTAATCACTTAAACGCAATCGAAAAAATTAAATAATACAAACACTTTATGGCAATTAAATGAGCGTTGGGGAGCAATTCTGAAAAAAAACGAATTCACTCATGTGTCCGAATTCACGTCATTTGGCGTAGAAATTTTTGTATAAAAATACAAAATAAGATTGATTGATTCACACGTATTTTAAATATTCTATTCATTAGTCATTTCAAAACTCAATTCACTTATCCACAAAACCAATTATAACCAATTCAATGTTGAACGGATGCCACTTTTTGAAGTAAATTCGGATAATCGGGATTCAACTGTATATCCGCTCGGTTGCCCAAGGGGGGTCCGCGCGCAACGCGCCTTTGCCCCGGGCCCTCAGCGCGTGCCTACCTCAAATGTCCCACGAAAAAAACGTGACGACCCTACTTTGCATCGCCATTTTTTGCGCCGTCAGCGCGCTGGTCGGGTTTCACAAAATCGATTCTTGTGACTCAATTTGTTTAAAAAAGTGTCAAGTATTGTATATATTTATGTTTATTATGAAACTAGCTAAACAATTTTATCTTTTGTTTATCAAATTACGACTTTAGTGCAGCGTTATGCTGTGCTGAACTTAGAAGTAGGGCGTTTTGAAGCTCGTCTTGTATTCAAAAGCTCATACCTCAAAAATAAAAGCGATGACATATGGTTTTTATTCTTTCATTATTTTGTCAATATAATAAATAATAGAATAAGAAAAAAAAAATTATCACTTGTTCATAGATGTTTATTATTTAAAAAGCCTTTGTTTTCCATACCAATATCTGGCGCCGCGCGACGTTATTTACCTTAACTTAACAAGGCTATTAAATGCACAAATATCACTCTTAGGGAAAAAAAACTAACACTAAATAATTAGTCTTATATTCTTTGAAAACAAACAAAAATCATGCGGATAGCATTTACCACATTTGAGAAATATGCATATTTCTTTAACAGTTCTCATACAGTCAGTGAAATTACTTAGATTATCAGTTTTTTTTTTTGTTCTAAACACTTATGGATAAAGAAAAATTAAATCAAAATACAAAAAGAACTCTTTATTCCCATTTCAAAAAGGTATAACACTTGTACAATGTCATAATTTAAAATCATAAAAGTCAAAGCTAAAATCGAATCGAACTGGACTGAAACGGAACGTTTGTTTTTTTCTCCAATTTTTTCTATGGCTTGGATGCTTGACTGGGGTTGTGTGGAAGGGAAATTTCATGAAGAAACGGGACAAATAATACAAATTAGGCCTTGGAGCGATGTTAACCACAGGTTGACATGGTCATAGCTGAGTGAAATGCAATGTCAACTACCAGTTAACACGGGCAAAGCGGACTTCAAGATTATGTTAACTACTACTTGACATGGTCAATTCTAAATTCTCGATTTGTTAACTATTAGTTGACACGGGCAAGCAAGCGGATATAGATATGAAACTGATTTTTAAATTTAATTATCGTTTTTATGATCTTTGTTACTGATTAATAAACCCTATTCATTTATTCACCATACATAATATAAAAATATGATTGATACTTGATGTAGTTTTGTTGCTAATAAGTTCAACAGGTAGTAGCTCGGTGGCGTAGTGGTTAAGCGCCGCGGCCCACGATCGTAGTCGTTAAGCAACTTTCGCAAGGGTCGGTCACGGGATGGGTGACCAAAAAATTATTATCTCGAGCTACTCCGTGCTTCGGAAGGCACGTTAAGCCGTTGGTCCCGGCTGCATTTGCAGTCGTTAATACCCTCCAATCCGCATTGGGCCAGCGTGGAGGGTCATGGCCCATCCTCCTTAACCATCCATAAGGAAGGCCTGAGCCCCTGCAGTGGGGACGTAAAAAGGGCTGATGATGATAATGATGAAGTTCAACAAACAACTAATAGCAACAAAACTAACTTACCTAGTTTGTTATTGTTTTCAGAACTTTTGTTAAATATTGTAATAAAAATTCCTAGACCTACTATGACTTAAGTATTTTATTTATAAAAACTATTTCATGGCTATATTATTGTATACCGTAGCTAAATGTCACTTTTAATAATTTCTCTGCATTGATTTCCATAACTTAAAAAAAACCTTCTCTATGCTCTCTTCCATCATGTTAGTTTCCATTTTCTATTATACAAATAAAAAGGAAATTTATTAGTGAAAAGTTTTTTTTTCCACTCGGCGCTTAGTGGTAAGTCTCCTTTTGCGTAAGATATAAATAAGAAGTCGAAAATGTCTATAAAATCGTATAATAATGACTACATATAAAACGTAATAAATGGTAAAATTAACTATTATTAATATCACTAAAAATTGGTTAAATATATTATTTTACGAAAATGGTATTTCTGGTTATTGAGCACGAGTTGCGTAAATGGTAGCGTTTTTCGTACTGAATTAATATTTTAAATGTAAGGTGTAAAGTGCTTACTTGCATAAATATAATTTTTGCTGTTCGTTGCATATAAAACAGAACAATTAGTTCGTACTTATCAAGTTAAACGAGTTAACTCGAACTAATTGAATTTCAACTCGATATTAATCCAAGTTATCAGATCCATACAACACTTACAATTCTATTGTCTTTGGTTTAACGTCATGAATTGACATTTATATCCTACAATTGTGCTGCCATCTAATAAAATAAATGTTTGTAGTTTCTTTATTTTTTAATTACTTTGATTTTTGGTATTGTTTATGTAAATAGGTCCCCTTGATTGTCATTCTACGGCCTTGACATATTTACAGGTGCGTGAAGTCACAAATACCACGTCATCAGCGTTACAGTAAAGTTTTTTGCGCCATTTTGGATATTTAAACTTTATTCCCGTTAATATATTAACAGTATGTTTCTGTGTATCTACAGTAGTAAAACTATTACCGCACACGATTTTAAACCTTAAAACATTGACGGTATAGGTCAAAATCTAATTATCAAATTGAAATATTGTGGTAACCTGACGTGTACATACTCTACTCTTTGGACTTTACATTAAATATAGTGTTAAAATTCTCTTTGTTTACTTTATTCACCCACCATTTAGCAACATTGATTTGATTTTACTTAATTGATATTGGCAGAATTATGTGAAACGTGCAGTTATGCCTATATCTTCTTCTTTCTGCGCATTCGCGCAATTCTGCCAATGTTAGGTGAATACATTAATTTCTACTGTAAAATGAAATGAATGAAAGACACGCAGTTATGCCTTCTTCTTCTTTTTTAATTAAAGGCTTATCTGCGCATTTCGCACAATGAGGAAGTATTTAAAAAAAATAAAGAAACTACAAAAAATTATGTTACTAGATGGCAGCACAAATTGTTGGATCTAAACGTCAATTCATGACGTTAAACCAAAGAGAATAGATTTGTTAGTGTTGTTATGGATCTAATAACTTGGATTAATATCGAGTTGAAATTTAACTAGTTCGAGTTATGCAATCGCAACTCGATTAATACAAAGTAATCTTTGAATAAATTTATTTTTTATTTGTATAGAGGAAAATGGAAGTGAGCACAGAGGCTTTTTAAATTTATGGAAATCAATTGAATGCTGTGATATAATTAAAAGTGGCATCTAACTACGGTATACAATAATATTACGTTTTATAAATAAAATAGGTACTTATGTCATAGTAGGTCTAGGAATTTTCATTTTAATATTTAACAAAAGTTCTGAAAAAATAACAACTAGGTAAGTTAGTTTTATTGCTATTAGTTGTTTGTTGAACTTACAACAACAAAACTACATCAATTCTCAATATTTTTTTTATATTATGTATGGTGAATGAATGAATAGGGTTTATTAATCAGCAACAAAAGTCATAAAAACAATAATTTTTAAGAAAAATCCGTTTATTATCTATAAACTTACC